TTTAGAACGAGAGACTGTTCAAATCTTGACGTTTTTATTTTAGTAAACACACAGGTAAAACAATTAATAGATTTGGGCTGCAGATAATATTGCTAAAGAAAATTAATTACTAGAAAACCCAATTTCAGTGGAAGATATTTTCAAGCAATATTATCTGCAGCTGATCATATCAAACAAACAAACAAAAAAGCAATTATTATTCAATGCACAGATATAAGTGTTTTAAATTTTCAAACGCTTTTTAGAAATAAAAGATTGTTCAATATAGATTTTGACAACAATTAAAACAATTAATCAACGTAAAAATAGAACGGTTAAAAGGAACTAGAATCTCCTTACAAACTCCATATATCTTTTCCTTCTAAATTATGTAAACCTTTGATATTTCAAGCTAAGACAATTTTATTTAACATTTTAAAATATCAAACGTTGCTCAAATAAAAAATACATATGTTTGTTACGAGTGCACTTCATTTGTGGAAAATGATTTTGAATTAATCTGTTTCAGCCAATAATAGAATCAAGTACTGGTATTCGTCTCGGCTGTTTCCAGTTCTACTATGATCAGCTCTCAGAACATATGTTCCAGGTAAACTAGAGGGGGATCCAGAATAAAAATGGGTCTTTTTTATTATACAGGGTGTCTTAAAAAACAAACTTCTATTATTACAGGCGGATATCAGTCCTTGGCAGAATTTTTGGTGGAAGGTAAAATCAAGTTTAATTTTCAAAAGTGAGTTTTATCTGATTCAACTCCTCTCATGATTATGTTTTTTTTTGCTAACTTCTTTTGATTTCTAACCCTTATATCTAAATACTCCGCAAATAGATTTTGCTTACTCTCTTATTTTCATTTAATTTTTTTTTCCTAAAATTTTTTTATCGTCTTTTATCTCATTTATCTCTAGTCTCTAGTATTAATTCTAAAAGTATTAGCTAATTATTAGTTTTCACCTTCAATAACATAATTCCATATTGCAATAAAATACCATATATATACATGTAAACAGATGAAATTAAATGAGCCGATAAAAGTTAATTTTGTTAACTTATCAGTTACCATCTTATCATTTGCAGGTGCACGACTTTACCCCTGTAAAAGGAGAAAAGAATTGGAGTAAACTTGGAACTATTTTTAAAGTTGAAGATTACCTACCTCTACCCACTTCTGATCAGGTACTCATCTTTATCAATGTACCTACCTACATAAATCCAGAGTACCTACCTTTACCCACTTCTGATCAGGTACACACCTTTATCAATGTACCTACCTACATAAATCCAGAGTACCTCCCTTTACCCACTTCTGATCAGGTACCCACCTTTATCCAAGTACCTACCTACTAAATCCAGAGTACCTACCTTTACCCACTTCTGATCAGGTACCCATCTTTATCAATGTACCTACCTACATAAATCCAGAGTACCTCCCTTTACCCACTTCTGATCAGGTACCCACCTTTATCCAAGTACCTACCTACATAAATCCAGAGTACCTACCTTTACCCACTTCTGATCAGGTACCCACCTTTATCCATGTACCTACCTACATAAATCCAGAGTACCTCCCTTTACCCACTTCTGATCAGGTATATATATACCTTTACTCAGATACCTACTTTCGTATACCCAAGGTACCTTACGGTGATTCAGATGTCCTGATTTTACCATTTTGTTCAGAATTTTTAGTATTCTTAAGAAGAATAAAATGGTGTTTATCACTACAGTATCTATTATCTAACCAATCTTATTTTCTGATACTTAAAATCAAAACTATGAGTTCCCAAAGTCCTCCTAGTAATGACGCATAAATTTAATAATATTCAAGTTCCTATTTTTGATAGCATACATTCATTCATTGCTGACATTTTGAGAATTATTGGTTAGATTTTTGCAAATTTTGTTTATGCCATAAACCTAAAGAATTATGTATCTAGGGAAGGAACGGAAGTGCTAAAGAAGAAAAGTCCCTGGTTCCCCTGACTGTAGGTCCCTCAAGGTCCAGGATGTTTTTTTACAATTTAAAACAAAATAGACAATTTATTAAAGCAAGAATATTTTTCTTATAAAATGGCGTAAACTATAGAAGATTATACCAACAAATTTGTTTTCCCTCATAAATACTCATCCTAAAAGAGACTGTATTCCCAATTCACAACGGTATCTTTGAAACATTTGTCTTATCAACGTGGAAGATATTACTAGGTTTAAAAGTGTTTAATTCTAATAATTCCAATATGCTTTTCTGCAGTAGAAATGCGCAAGTCACTTTAGTAGAGAAACAACAATCGAAAACAGCCAGTTTATTAAAATATAAACATTAAAATCTAGTTCTTACTTGAGTTCAATTCTATGTCGTTTCACTTTTTCCCCGAGTACTTTCAGATATTTCTAAAGATAAAAATCTTGGACTGTTAGATCTCTCTCTGGTGAGGAAGTTTCTCTAGTTGTTATTTTCCAATCTGACAGGTATTCCTATTTGTATCTGTATATCTGTGTATCTGTATATCTGTATATCTGTATATCTGTATATCTGTATATCTGTATATCTGTATATCTGTATATCTGTATATCTGTATATCTGTATATTTGTATTCTTCATTGGTCTAGTTTTACACTAGAGACAGGAACCATGAGTCTTTGCCACAACTCAAATTTTCTCATCTCTACATCTTTGCTAATGGGTTTTATTTTCTTTGTCTTTTTATGAAGGTATTTTAAATTTAAGCTTTCCGTACTTTTCTCAAACATTTTTCATGTTGTGAAGCTAAAGCACTGTGAATTGTTTAGGTACTCGAGATTTTCTCTTAAAATCTAAAGTACTGCAAAATGTATTCGCTGCTTGAAATTACCCCATCTTTTCTTGTATACTAAATCAATGTGAATTGTTTAGGCAGATAGAGATTGGCTGGAATAGTTTGAAAAAACTAAAAGAATACCCAAATGTTTATTTAGTCCGTACTGCACATATTCTGGTCAGGTAGAATTAATCTTATATAACCTTATATAACAAACAAAGAACCCGCAAAAATTATTAGTGCGAACAAAGTATTTACTAAATTTTACATTTTGAAAAACAGGATTTGTTAACTAGAAAATACAAATTTTAAGATTTGTTAATTAAAAAAACTAAATTTTCTGAATTACATTTTGAAGAACAAGATTTGTTTCTCAGAAATTCACCTCTTGCCCTTTTTGTTAAATTTAGAGCAGATTTTCACAGATTTTTTGCGAATTATTGTTAAAACACCATTTATTAGAGTAACGTTGAATGACACTCCCTTCACATTTGTGCAGATTTACATCAAGACATAGAAAATGAGAAGAGAATATAAAATTAATCATATAAAATATAATGATATCTACAAAATTTCCTTACCCCATTTTGTGAAAGGCCCGGTTTCCGATATTGGGTTTCTTAACGATACATTGCGTTAAAGTTTTGGGCTCTGTATAGAGTTCAATTCCTTGTGTACAATGTACATCTGAAGATTTTCAACCTACATTTGTTTTATGGTTATACTTATAACTCTCTTATTTATGAACGAATTCTTATAACATCTATTGTATTTTCTCGTTCTAGACGAGCCGACGCAGAGAGATTGTTCCCAGCCTGGGTTGACCGGGTAGATAGGGGTAAACTACTCTGCTTTCATCTTGCAGGAGCAGGAGCAGATACATTAGCCAGGTAGGTCATCTTGCAGGAGCAGGAGCAGATACATTAGCCAGGTAGATCATCTGGCAGGAGCAGGAGCAGATACATTAGCCAGGTAGGTCATCTGGCAGGAGCAGGAGCAGATACATTAGCCAGGTAGGTCATCTTGCAGGAGCAGGAGCAGATACATTAGCCAGGTAGGTCATCTGGCAGGAGTAGGAGCAGATACATTAGCCAGGTAGGTCATCTGGCAGGTGAAGGAACTATTTATTTAGCAAAATTGAGTTCAGAAAAAAATTAATTTATTTTTAGAAAAATGAAGGAGAGGGAGGTAGGTGGAATCTGGATAAGCGAGGGTAACGGAGAAAAAGATGTACAGGTAAAAAAAGATTTTACCAAAATTTACTTTTTTTTAATTAAACTTTTTTAGGGACTTTTCGGACTTTCTGAGATGGCAATGGGATTCTAAGAGCTGAATTCGAACTGGTTGATTCTAAACAAAGTTTAATTATGAATAAACATGCAGGGATTCCCTGATCAATAAGCTTGGGAATTAAGTGACGAGTTCGAAGTCTTTTTCTATTTGCGCTTTATTTAATTCTGATTAGATTATCAAAAAGCATCAAAGATGATCAAAATGCCGTCATCAAATTTACATTTTTTAAAGAATAATCTTATTAAAAATGTTCTGAAAAAGTGAGAATAGATCGTAAATCCTTATTTATGACATTATCTTTACGGTTTTTATGTAAAACGTTTTTAATAATAATTTTTATTGTCATCATAATTTACTAAATACAATTAGTAGACTTTTTCAAGAATATACATTGGAAAAAATTGGTTTGAGAATTCAAAGTTTCATAATTTTTTTTAAAGTCTGACTTCATACATTTATTGACGCATGAAAAATATGAAATAGGAGGAATACTAATTGAAATATTGAAAATAAGTTACATTTCAAGCTATTGGTAAAAACAATTTACTTCATAACAACATTAAGATAATCATAAGATCGCATCAATGTCGTCTTCTCATTTTTGGGCCCCACTGAATGTAAATATCTTTTTTGATCGTAATTATTATCATTATTAATTCTGAAACTCAATGGTTGTGTACCGTGTACCGTTCTTTAATTTTAATAAAAGTTTGAAATTAATATTTATTTTTCTGTCACGTTAACTTTGTTATTATTTCACACACAAAAAAATGTTTAATCGTTCTCCTTACAGTCTTGATTCCTTGCTACAGAGGATTTTATTTTTGTTGAAAAATCATCTAAAGTATATATTCTAGCCAAAAGACCAAATTCAACCTGTTTACCGTAATAGTTAAGGCCGTCCTTTCAATCTTTTCATGCATGTATAACCCCTGTTTATATAAGAAGATTTCTCAATCCATGGAATTTGTCAAAAATAAAAATATGGCACAATCTCTTCATAATTTTCATTTTCAGAAATTTAGAGATTCTTTCAAACGTCAGACTTTTTGGAACTAACTGTAAAAGTGAATATAAACAGTTAGAAAACTAGTTTCTTGAAAGAAAGAATTGAAGATATCACCTTAGATCTTGTTTCTTTGTTGGGTAGTACACAGAACAAGTTTACGCACTTTTACGCATCTTTCCTTGGCCAGGGTTACGCAAAATTGTTATGATAGATACGCATAAAGATAGAATTTTTTCTCGTTTGCTACTTTTATTTATCTTTATATTTATTACCAGCGCGTGTAATATTTTTTTTCGTCTGTGTCGATGGCCCTGCTGTAGAAAGGTTAGGTGAATGGCCCTGGGTTTTGTTGCCGGTGTTTGTATATAAGGTTTATTTCTTGGTTAGAATAATAGTTATTGAAATCTACTAAACATGAAGTTAATGGGTGAGACATTTTTATTATTTTTTTTTGGAAGGGGAGGGGGTGGGTGACTCAACTCTTAAAACACATTTGCTTTTAAGTTTTTTTTTGCGACGTTTGGCCATGCAGGCAGGATCTAAAAAAAATACAAGATTTTTTAAACTTTGAAATAAAAACAGAAGTGATTGAGGATTCTGTGAAAATGATTTTTTTCATGATATATTTAATTTCAGTTGCAATTTGTTTTTAAACTAAGATTAAGTATAAATCTGGTTTTACTTGATGAATATAATTATAAAAATATCGTGAATCATTTCAAAAATCAAAAAGTTTTATTTATGAAACTCATGTGACGATTGATATTTAGTTTTTGTTCATTGTTCATTGTCATTTCCTGTCGGAGATTTAACATTTCCTGTCGGAGATTTAACATTTCCTGTCGGAGATTTAACATTTCCTGTCGGAAATATGAATATTTCCTGTCGGAGAATCCCAATTTCTGTTATGGATGTTAATATTTCCTTCCGTAGATATTACCACTTTTTGGCGTAAATACCTCCATTTCCTATCATAGTTATTACTATTTCCTGCTGTAGATATCTATATTTTCTGTCATGGTTATCATTTAATCCTATTGTGGATATTTCTTTTTCCTGCTATAGATATCTCTACTTCCTGTCTGAGATATCTATATTTTCTATAATAGTTCTTAAATTTTCTGTCATAGATATAACGTATTTACAGTCTGGGATATTATTATATCCTGCCGTTTACAGCGCTTTTTCTTGTCGTAAACAGCACTAATAATAAAAATAAATAATAAAGTGTTGAAAATAAACAATTAAATAAAACAGGTTATCACTAAAATAATTGAAAAAAAACCGGTTACAGTTGTTGTTGCCCTGGTAAGCGCCGTTTCCGGTTACTCCTCTGGTCCCCCATCTGGCGCATGCGCAAATATGCGCCCTGGACCTCCTCACGAGCCCAATAGCATCACAGCCTCAGAGTTCAAATCTGCTCCATTTGAGGTCAATTTATTTTGTTTAAACCTTTATATCAATTTCTTCATTAAACAGACTCTCAACGTTGTGTCAGTTGTTTCAAGCAACCTTCCATGTCAATGTCCGATTCTGATATTCCAGTATGTTTTCCTACAGTAAAAATGCAACATATGAGTCGAACTTTTGTGGAAAATTCAAAACTCAAAATAATTAGTTTTAAACATTATATGATATCTGATTAATACTTGATAGAGACTCAGATTTTAAGGGTGTCTTTGTGAATCGGGCATTGCCATCTTTGTAGGGAGGGTCACTTGAAATTCCGCTTTTAGTCCCTTTAAGATTATTTTCCAAAAGTTTAAAACTTGATTTCACATATTTTCATCATTTGAATAAGTAACAAACAATATTCAATGTTTTAATAGTTCCTTGGGAGGAATCTATGTAAAAAAATCCGGTTTTTCATATTTTAGGTTTTTTGCTTTACAAAAATCTAAAAGTCCCCCAAAATATCCGAAATAGCCAATTTCTTGAGTCTAAGTAGAAAGGGCTGTCTAATGTCTATGATAGGGGCAAAAATTTTACCTCGCCGCTTAGAGTTTCAGACTGTACCAGTTCATGATTTGATGTGTGGACTGTTTGGTTATTTTCCGTCGCTTCTTTAGACTAATCTTTGGTTTGGTGTAGTTAGTGGGGAGCCTGCAGAAGACTAAACAGATCAGAGTGTTCCTGAGAACCTTGAAGGATGGTAGACCATTCAGAGGGTTCATGCTCATGGCGGAGGTATTATTATTATTAAGAGAGGACATGGATATTTTATTCCCTCCCCTGAATCAGCTGATGATGCCCAGGCTATGGACTGTGAGAACTTCCCTCCCACATGTGAAGATTCTGAATGCCAGGTACAAGATTTAAACCATCATAGAAAAACATTTTGATGAGAAAGGTTTTAAGGATACTGTTTTGAATCGGACATTGCTATCTTTGCATGGAGGGTCACTTAGAATTACGCTCACAGTCCCTTTAACAGGAATTAAAAATCGTTGGTATTTATCTAAGGACAAACTGTATACCAAAAAAGATTGAAATTCTGACTTAAAAATTCCATGACATTGATGGCAAAATAAGTTTTAGATACCTTTTCTCTTTTCAAAAATAGAAATCTAAACAAAAATTTTTAGCAGAAGATATAAGCAAAAAACCAATAATTTTCCGAATGTCTAATAATTATTTGATGCTAACATGATATAACTTCTAGGGAACTGCAAATGCACTTGTGCACTCCAACGGCGAGGCTAAGGACTCAATTACAGCTATCTGGACTCCACCCAGCAGTATGACCGGCCAGGTAAGCACAACATTTCAGTTTTTTTATTGCAGGTCACGCGGATTTAACATCTCCGTTCTCGGTCCTTATCCCATCAAGCTTTCACTTTCGATCAAAATTTGTCTCATTTAACTACAATTTTAGCCTTTTCTCTGTTATTATTTTTAGTCGGCATATGCGTTTTAACAGTTGATAGAAACGTACTTAATGAAATATGAAATCAACGGCAACTCTCTCTTTATGTTCGTAGAAAAATCAAGGATGTGAATAGTATAGTAGAGTAAAACAATCTATTTGTATTCTAGTCAGTGTGTTTCTACCAATCATGTTTCTACCATCTGTACCTGCTGAGTTTTTTTTCTTTTGTTTTATTTTATATTTATTTGTCGTTTTTAGGTAAAGTTTGTTGCCACTGTTGTGGGAGAGAACAATGAAGATGAGGGATCCACTTGGTGGGAGGGAGTCACATCTACTCCAATCGTGCTCTAGACTCCTGTTGGATCTACTCCAATCCATCTTAAAACTTCTCCTGGAGTTCTGTAGGAGTTGATCTACTCATATTCAGCTCTATACTTTTCCCGGAGTCCTGGTAGGAGTTGTATCTACTCCTATCTAGCTCTGGACGCCTCCTGGAGTCCTGGGAGAAGTTGTATCTACACCTATCTAGCTCTGGACACCTCCTGTAGTCCTGTTGGGAGTTGTATCTACTCCTATCTAGCTCTGGGCACCTCCTGGAGTCCTGTTGGGAGTTGTATCTACTCCTATCTAGCTCTGGGCACCTCCTGTTGTCCTGTTGGGAGCTGTATCTACTCCTATCTAGCTCTGGGCACCTCCTGTAGTCCTGATGTTGGGAGCTGTATCTATACTCCATTTCTACATTAGAGGCCTGGTGGGAGGTTTTTATACATACTCCTTTTCTGCTCCACACTTCTGGGACTCCCAGGAGTTTGCCAATATGTAAAATACAAACCAAAAACTATATTTATTTATTTATATTTATTTATAGTCAGGTTTTATACCCCTTCATGTTAAATATTTAGCTGAACACGGAAGATTTTGTCGAATGAATCAATTGAAATATTTAAATCCAGAAATTATCAATTTGCATCTGAAGTTTAATTTAGACGTTTACGTTTTTTTTAAATTGAAGGGGAACAACAATTTTATATTCTTTTCACAAGGAAAGTTTTGTTTTAAAGTGGCATTGCCCTCTATGTTAATGCTTAAATGACTTGTACATGAGCGGGGGAGGGCAGGCGGTCAATAAGCCACAAAAATTTTCACTTCATGCCACATATTAGCTTTCTTTTGTCTTCCGGCAGCCATAAGCTACGACCGTACAGTCTTACATATGTCACAGAGTTTGAATTTTCTGGCAATTATTACGTTTTTAAATGATAAATTTAGTGCATCAAAATTGTGATATTAAAAATCCAGTGACCTTATGCAGGGGCGGATACAGGATTTAAGTGAGGGGGGGGGGGGTAAGAGTGTTTTTAGGAACAAAAAAAATGAATAATTAGGAACAAAAAATCGTGCCGCAAACTTTTTTTTGGCTTAAAAGACTCAAAAAGAGTCAAAATTAATGACTAAAGTCCCTATTCAATTTTTAGGGCACCATTGTCGGAAAATATTTACATCTGATGGAAATGAAAACATAACTGATCAGTCCATATATTTGACTTAAAGTTAGGCCAGACAATTGGTATTGGTTTGAGGTTGACCAAACCACTATTTTTTAGCCATAAATAAGAAAATTTTAAAGCTGTCCAACTTAAAATTTTAAGGAGTAGTTGGTAAAAGCCTGAAACATTTTTGTAAGATATCAAACAATATTTTAATCAACCATTTGGCTCTTGAAACTTTAAGCCCTGTATTCATTCAGTTAAAAATAAAACAAAATAATGAAACTGATGTTTTATTTAGATACTAAACATATTTGGTTACAATCACAATTTGAATACTTTGACCTTAATCCTTCTCTGATGAACAGAAAACCAAAATTTCAAAAATTGAAGATAATTTTTTTGTTGAAAAGCCCTCCAATCCAAAGTTGTGCACTGTTCAAGAGAACTACAGTTAATAAAGTAGTAAAATATTTAGGGTTAAGTTAAAGGGTCTTTAAACTTAGATTAAATTAAACTCAACTTAAATTTGACTGAACATTTTTATGTATAACTGTGCTTTTTACAGATCTATCATAATTAAAAGGCCCACAGACAACATGAGTATATTTAACCAACTTGGATTGTGTGGAAATACAAAAATGGAAACTATTTTACCCAGAAAACGTTAAACCTTTTATGTCGAAAAATTGTTGGAAATGATTTTTCCGACAAACATCGCAAAGTCCAGATTCTTGTCTGACGTCAGTCTAATTATTTGCTGGGTAATCCCAGGCCAAAATCCAATCTGTTAATTGGTTCGCAACTTGACTCTACCAGTTGTGCCAGCGTTTTCTTTTATTTGTTGCGCGCTGTACCGACCCGTTCTGCACGTGCCCTGCAGTCCAGANCATATATTTGACTTAAAGTTAGGCCAGACAATTGGTATTGGTTTGAGGTTGACCAAACAACTATTTTTTAGCCATAAATAAGAAAATTTTAAAGCTGTCCAACTTAAAATTTTAAGGAGTAGTTGGTAAAAACCTGAAACATTTCTGTAACATATTAAACAATATTTTAATCAACCATTTGGCTCTTGAAAATTTGAGCCCTGGATTCATTCAGTTAAAAATAAAACAAAATAATGAAACTGATGTTTTATTTAGATACTAAATATATTTGGTTACAATCACAATTTGAATACTTTGACCTTAATCCTTCTTTGATACCATTACTAGCTGAACATAAAACCAAAATTTTAAAAATTAAAGATAATTTTTTTGTTGAAAAGCCTTCCAATCCAAAGTTGTGCACTGTTCAAGAGAATTATAGTTAATTAAGTAGTAAAATATAAAGCGTTAAAGGGTCTTTAAACTTAGATTAAATTAAACCCAACTTAAATTTGACTGAACATTTTTATAACTGTTTTTTACAGATCTATCATAATTAAAAGGAGTATATTTAACCAACTTGGATTGTGTTGAAATACAAAAATAGAAAAGAACTTTCCAGGTTTACTTAAACGATTTTTTAACTACATCAGTCTAATTATTTGCTGGGTAATCCCAGGCCAAAATCCAATCTGTTAATTGGTTCGCAACTTGACTCTACCAGTTGTGCCAGCGTTTTCTTTTATTTGTTGCGCGCTGTACCGACCCGTTCTGCACGTGCCCTGCAGTCCAGAATTTTTTTGGTTTGGAAATTCTTTTAGACACGGCAAAACCAGTCTCACGCCTAGTGTATCAGTCCTCTTGTACTCAAACAGGAGATCGTCTAACTGGACACAGAATAAAGAAAAATTAATAAAAATAAAACAAAACAGTGTTGATTATTTTCGCTTCAAGTTAAAATTAAATCTAGCTTAAGTTGCTTTAAAAAATCAAGAAATGTTAAAACCATTAAAATAAATATTGTAAAACTAAACTTACATTTTGAAAGTACGTTTTGTGGTCTATTGTTAGTTTGTGATTACTGATCCTTAGAATTCTAAAACCAAATATAAACTTAGCAACGTTTCTTAAACCTTAAGTTTGCTTTAAATCAATGAAAAATAAGAACAAAAGCAAGAGAAATTTACCAAGACTTAGTGAAAAAAAAAATATTATATTGAATTGATTAAAATTAAAGATTAAAAAACAAAATAAGTTGCTAACAAAAGATAAAGGAACAAATTGAAAAAGCTAATAGGTTTTATTATTTTATTGTTTATATTTCCTAAAATATTTTACTTTGTCTTCCTGCCAGACACACAGAGTTAAGTCCCCAGGAAATTCTGTTGAATTCTTTAACAGGTAGAATCCATCTGGACCCTTAATATTTTTAATTAATAAAGGCATGTCTTACATTATTCATAATTTTATCTTCTATCAGTTTTCTATTATGACATTTTGCCTAATACTGACTTGACATGACAGAAGCTATATTTGCCTGAACGAAGCAAAATCAATTGTTTATTATACAAATAATTTAAAAATCACTTTAACTCATAACTTTTGCATAATATAATAAAAACTAAATTTTAGAGAATAAAATTTTAAAATATGATAAACTGAAAAGATTTTTGTGGAGTCTCCTTTCCAATTCAACCTAAAAAATCATGAACGTTAAAAAAAAGGATAATAATGATGCCCAACTCTAATCAGGATCATGCTTAGTCCATCCAGGCCCAACATTTTTACGTAGATTGTACAGTACTGTGACAAGACTGATCAGCTAGCTATAAAAGAAAGTAAATTGGCGGTATCTATGTAGTTCAATCATATACAACCTATGTGGCTCTTATATAGTTATTACACAGTGTACACTGTACAGTCCAATGATGTTTTTTTTAGTTTTTAGATACTGTCCTGTCAAAATACTAAAATAATAATTCGAACCTGTTTTAGGAGTTGTTCCACCTTGGGTTTCCTAATCCATCCATGGTAGCAGCTGGGTAGGTCAACAGGTCGACCCCACACTTTGCCTGAGGAATAGGATACGCGTAGTCATGACTTTCACCCTGTGCACATAGCAAATTCCTCAACGCTATATTCCATGTTTACGACGCCATATTGGAAATAAAAAAGAATTTAACATGCTTTGAATTTATTCAGTTGTTCAAATTAGGTTATTATTAATCCATAACTTAATCCTCTTACACAAAAATTAGTCTAACTTTATCAAATTTAAACCAGCAAATAGTTAAAACATTACAAATCAAAGCTGTTCAGATGAGCTTTCGCAATTTTACAAATGACTAATATTAATTTTAACTATTTTGGACAGATAAGCCTTCTAAAAAATTTTAATAATGTTTTGCTTTCTAAAAAACAGGGTGGGTCAAAAAACAAGATTAGTGTTGTTTCACAAAACACTCATTTACATATAGCAGAATTAAAATTTTAGACAAAAAAATTAAATATAATTATTAATTATCAATGCTGAACAGGATATCAAAATGTCCAATTTTACATCCTTCAAATTTGCACTTAAACATTTTTTTTTTCTAAATGATTATAAGCCAAGTTAAAGTTTATGTACTAAAGGCTAAAGCACAAATTCAGTGAACAGCTGACTTAAGTAGAATTGACAGTTAGTCCATTCAACCATCATTGACATAGCACCAAATAATTGCATCTCATGGTTTTGGTACATTTAATTATACCTGAACCAAGTAGTGATAAAACCATTTATTATAACTCCCAAATAAAAAAAATGGAAAACAAAATGCCGTTTATTACTTGTTTTTCATTTCAACATATTTGCTACAAAATTATTTCTAATATATTTCTAAAAATTTTATCTTAAATGTCGTCTTGAAACTTTCAACATCCTCTTTTAACAGTAGGAACTCATCTATATACGACAGAAACATAATGTGGCTCGTAAAATAAAAAAACAATTCAGTAGGTTTGCATTCCATGAGAATTTTACAGTACGGTCCTTGTCCCAGTAAGTTGTGCCTTTTGATCACGATTTGTCCCATTAAACATGAATTTTTCGCAAAATTTTTGTAAAAAAAAATCCTTTAACAATTTGGAATGACTGATAATTTTCAATTCGTTAAAAGACGTTAAGTTACTGGCCTAACCAGTAAAAACACCGGTTTTAGCCAGTTTTCATTATTGTTCATTCTTTTTATTAAAAATAAAATGTATTTGTACAGTGCATGCAATGTAAAATCATGTTTGCCCAACCTTTGAATTGTTTCTCAACGAAGATAAGGAAATATTAAAACATAAAACTTTTAAATTGAATCGTAAATCAATCTTAAATATTTACCTTTTATATTTAAACTGCGGAATATGGAACAAAATCTGCGATCTTGAAATTCAGACTTTTCCTCATGATCTCGATTATTAAAAGGTGGTCGTGTTGCCGCGTGTTGTTCTCTCTCCAATTTGTTAAAATGTCGTTTTCCGGTTGTTTCAATATTGTTTTGGAAAACTGTTATTTTTTCCGTTCCATCTTGTTCATCTTCTGGAAGAGGGTCATCCAGTTTTTCTTTCGCTCTAGAATTTCAATTCAATGTAAAAAATGCACATTCAATATTATTTCATAATATTACTCTGTATCTCACATTTTAAACTTGTTTCTATAAAAGTTGACAAAAAAGACTTGTTTTCCAAACAAGAGCATTATATTGTCCATCAATTTTCTATCAGTCTTCTATAGGTGTTTCAACGAAATGACCAATTTTTTTGGCGCAAAATTTGTACAATTTGCACAAAATCTGAAGTTTTGCGGAAAACATAAATTTTTAAGTAAATTGACCAAAATTGATAGTTCAGCACAGAATCAAACAACTGAAGATTAATCAAAATATTTACAAAAAACCAAAATTATAATTTTGCTACACTGAGGCCGAATTTAAAGAATTTGATCCGCGGTTTAAATTTAAGCCGCGAAACAAATTTTAAAGTGAGGGACAAAAATTCGAAAATTGAAAATTAAAAATTGATGCATGGTTTTTTAAATGTCTGAATCTTTGTGTGGTGGTAATTGTCTATTAGTTTTTTAATGCCATCCTTGAAACTTTCCCTGTCAACAAAAAGTCGGAGAAAGTCAAATTGACGCAAAAAGCACTTCCGTATTTCTTTCACATAGTGACACGGATTCAAGATTAAGAGGGTATTTCCCTATTTAAGTTGTCAAGGTTATCCAACATAAACAAATGATGAGTCAGCAAATTTGACAAGAAAACCGGCGAACTGTCCCTTCACCTGTTTTGCGAATAAGTTGACCGCAAAGTTTTGTAGCTTCCAGCCATAAACTCTTTAGAGTCAATCTGTCCCATTGAAGTTCTGGAATAAAAGAATAAAAAGATTATTATTTCATTAAATTTTATGAACTTTATAGTAATTTGAATATAAAACTTCTATCCAATTTTCACAATAAAAATGGGACACAAATTCTAAATGGGATACAAAAACTAGGGGATACAAATTCTAAAATTCTAAAAGAGTCTATTTGTCCCGCATAATCTAAAAACCATTATGTTTGAATTTTTATTTTTAAGTTTTCCAGAATGAGTTATGTAATATAAGTTTTATTACAAAACAGTTTGAAAATTTTGAGCATTATGATTCTTGCGGAAGACGACAAAAACTAAAATCCGGAAAACCTTTCCAGAAAAATGTCTCCATGTAAAATCAACAATGTTCCTGCTAGTTTTCGTAAAACCTTACGACAAAATAACTTTAATTAATTAATTATAACTTCATGCAGACATCAACAAAAAATCTGATCTTTTTTTATTAGAGATTTTAATGAAAACATTTTAATAAAAAAANAGACAATTGTTTTCCATTAGTGCATTTCTTCTACCTTAAATATCCTCTCTTAGGGTCATGTGAGTTGCCATACAAAATTTAAGCCTGATCAATTCAACCTTTTTACGTTTACTAGGCTTGATGGGCGCTTCACGCCCATCTTCTATTTCAATTGTGAACATTTTCTCTTCCTATACACTGTAAAACAAAAACAAAAAGTCTGCGGATTTTCTCGAAAAAGAAGTAGATTTTTAAAACTTATCGGAAATCAAACTTTGCTGTCGGCAAATTTTTGAAATTTTTATGATTCTCAAACCATCCCTGGAGTCATGTGATGTCCTACACAAAATTTTAGCACGTTAGGTTTAGCTGTTGACAAATGGACACTAACAGACGAGCAAAGTATATATATATCTGCTAGGCTTTTAGGGGGCTTTGCGCCCATCTTCTATATTTAACTTTTAATGTGGCTTTATCTGTGAGCATCTTCTCTTTGTACAGTAAAAAAAAAGCTTGCGGATATTACAAAATTTTTTTCGCACATTTTCAAAATTTTACAAAAACAAAAAACTTTAAGACACACATTTTTGAAATTTTGATCATTCATAAACCTTCCCTGGGACCACATGAGGTCCCACACAAAATTTGGGCCCGATCGGTTCAGCCGTTTTGACGTTTATTGGATAGAAACAGACAGACAAACAGACAGACAAATTTATATATAGATATAAAGAACTTTTATTTCAATTTTAAATTGAAATTATGAAGATTTATTTTAATGTAAACTGCTAAAGTTATTTTCCAAAAAAAAAATTTAATCTTTCCTCTGAAATGGCTTATTTGTGAAAACATTATGAAATTATAAAAATTATGCATCATAACATACTCTGTAAAGTTCACAGGGCGCCCATAACCGAAAATTTGCACTATTTAACGAGAAAATTGCAAAATAGAATTTCTTTTGTGGAAATATGTAACGCTCAGGTAATAACAGTTAATATTGTGATTTTTCTCCTCCTTTAGACTGCAGACAGTTTGTGTTGGTGCCCACAATGGGTAAAATGATGCACAATTTTCTTTGTAAATTGTAAAGCAGTTTATAAACTGAACACACAATTCATTGATCTTTATTAAACTAATAAAATTTCTTTAAGATATGACCTTTCGCGTAGTGAGTAGGGTTTCCAATCGATTTTTTTGCCAAAAAATCGTGTAATAATTGCCAAAAGATTTTCTTACGTTTCAAGTAAAAATTGCTCGAAATTTCGATATAATTTTGCATTTTGAGCATTTCGTTATTCCTGCCTTTTTCGTTATTTCGAGCAATTTCGTTGTTTCAAGCTATTTCGCTAAAAAAGAAACAATTCCATGATATGAATGTACAAAATAAAGCTCTCGCATGAATCATTTACAAACATTCATTGTAAAGTTTAATGCGTTATCTATGGAGAAGAAGTTGGAATCCTACAGAAATTCACGTTTTTCGTAAAAATGATACAAATACAAATATAAATACAAAATTATACGCAGTGCTGAACAATGTAAGCATAATGTGCTTCATGTTTTTACGCAGAAGACAACATTAAACGAAGTGCTGAACATGAAAAGCAAATATTTCTCATGTTTTAACACAGAATACAGTATTATACGCAGTTCTGGACACTGAAAACAAATGTTCCTCATGTGTTTACGCAGAATACAAAATTATACGCAGTGCTAAATAATGTAAGCAAAATATGCTTCATGTGTTTACGCAGAATACAAAATTATACGCAGTGCTAAATAACGTAAGCAAAATATGCTTCATGTGTTTACGCAAAATATAAAATCTACGCAGTACTGAACAATGTAAGCATGCTTCATGTGTTTACGCAGAATACAAAATTATACGCAGTGCTAAATAACGTAAGCAAAATATGCTTCATGTGTTTACGCAAAATATAAAATCTACGCAGTACTGAACAATGTAAGCATAATGTGCTTCATGTGTTTAAGTTGACTGTGTAATAATAGTAAATGTGTTATCAAGTACTTAGAACAGCTTAAAAGATAACAAAAAACTTATTTACTCACACTAATCATAAATTACACATTGCGGGCTTACAATAACGACGACATCAGTCCTATAAAAACAATCACTAGTTGAGAGATTTCAATAAAACTGTTAGACTTAAGTTTTCACTTTAAATATAGCTAAACCTAAACTTATGAACCACAAGCAGTTTAGGAGTGTATTCAAAACCGTTTCACCTAATTAATAAGTTGATTTTCCAGATACTGGCAAAACTTTTTGATTCATAAAAACATCAAATAATCAAGGATTGCTTCCTATTCCACAGTTTTATGGGTCCCTTTGTATCTGGTTTAATTTTCCGAAAATATGACCCCTTTAATAGAAATCGGCTGTTCCAAAAAACATGAGAGGTAGGTAAATCTTTATTGATTTACGATAGCGCACTAATAAATATCCTGGGGTGTATCAAAAAAAGTTAAAGTAGGTTTCGGTAAAGTTGAGAAAGCAAAAGCGACAGAGCCATATTTTGAAATCCAATGAAAAGAAGTCTACGACAAAGAAATGACGTATTATACCTCTGTGACGAGAGTTCAGTTGGTACGCTTAAACATCAATGAACAAATGTTCCAAGACTTTACTTCAGGCAAAAAATATGTTGATCTCAGTTGTCTTTTATAGGTCACTAGATATCAATACAATGAAGACGACCTTTATATTTTAATTTCAATTTTACCAATCTTTCAACCAGTAGACACACATCAACATGAAGCGAAAGAAAAATTGTCGATAAACAAGTTCTTTTTTTACTTGTAACCTTGTAATTTGAAAAATGCATGTTAGGGATCAAAGTATAATTATTAAAAAGTTGTTTTCATTGTATTGATATAATCGCCGACAACGGTACCTAAAAGCGAACACACAAAATGAAAAAAAACTACTTAGTCTGGCTAAACATTAAGAAGATAAGAGAGATAAATAGTTTATATTACATAAAAGGATGTAATATAAACTATTTATGTCTCTTATCTTCTTAATGTTTCCTTTATCTAACTAACATAATATAAAAAAAATAATTCATTTCATTACTAAATCAGTGTCAATTTTGCACTATAGTATTTAAAATTATTTTTACATCATTACATCATTAAAAAAAATGTTTTAGTAATTGGAGTCTAAAAGTCTTCTTCCTATTGCAGAGTTTTCTGGTTATCACTGTATTATTACATATATATAGAATAGATAGATAGATTATCAAAATAGAACTGACAGAAGCCGTTAGTTGTTAACTTATAACTGCACGTTGTCCAAAATATAATTTTTGTGCAGCGCTAACGGTAAGTTTAAAATATTTGCAATCTCTCTTTACTCCTGTATTTTTGATTTTTCTGTCTGCAAAAATAAATTCTTTACCTTAAATTCGTGAAGTGTTACAATCTTTTTCATTGCTTAATTTCATATCATTGAAATGTCATCAAAACAACATTTTAAATGAACAATAATCTCTGGAAGCAATTTATTTTTTTATTTATATAATATCATACATAAAGATGTAAAAACTAAAAAAAGTAGTTTAAGATTTGCAAAATGAAACAGGGCAAATATTGTTAAATAATTGAATAAATGAAATTTTGTGAACTTTCTAAAACAGTCAGAAGAAATGCTTTTATAGCAAATAATCAAGGCCATAAGTGAACAGTATGAATGTTTATGTATTGCCTATAAAAGTTTTTTTTTTAAGTGGAATCCTTAAAAATCACATTACAAAGACTTTTTCAGGCCGTATCTAGTCAGTCAAGCAGTAAACTTTGGACTTTGATTTTTTACTACCCTGCCATTAACATTTAAAATAATTTTGTTAAAAACTCAAAAGAAGCATATGTCTTTAAATTAAATATACGTTTGATTTTAGACCTGTAAATGTACTTGATTTCAAAGATATCTTTAAAATGGATTTACTTAAAATTCCCTCGGTGGCCTTTTCTGAAAATTGAGATAAGAACTCAGAAGACTGCATATTAACAAGAAAAAGTTTAGATGTTTGACTTGAAACCTGATGGCCCCTCAGTTACTTACGGCTCTGGTTCTATACAGATCAAATACTAATTGTATGTTCTCAACTTCTATTAGATTATTTTAATGAAGTTTAGAAAGACAGGTATTTTCAATCTGAAAAAAATTACGATGACAACATTTAAAAAACATATAACAAATAAAATACAAAACGAAACAAAATAATTGCTTTCTTTATATTCTTTTATTTTTATTATAATCGTTTTTTAACAAAATGAAAATTAACAGGTTTTCCATTCATTAATGGAATCTGTCTAAAATTTCCATTCGTTAACGGAGTATGATGCCCAGCCCTAGTCTATACTTAGATATATGTCCCAACACGTCTTAGTCTCTGTTCTGCGCGTACCTAGGCTATGTGAGATATATGACCCAACACGTCTCAACCCCTGCTCTAAGCGTAACTAAAACTGCCTAGTAACCGAGTAACCCATACCTTGTTTACAATCAGCTGTCAAAAATAAGGAAAAGGAGGAAAATATAGAATTTTGTTTGATTTATTGATATTTCGTTTTTATTTGTATGCGTGAGCTTGTGCCCACAATCTTTATCCAAAAATAAACTATTATTAAAGTTAAAAATAGAATTTTGTTTAAAATTATCAAAAATAGATTTTTAAATTTTAACAAATTTAATCGTAAAGACAGCTGATAATAACGGTTTGCAAAATCAATACAAATTTACTCTGTTATCTCTGGAATAGACACAAACTATTTGTATAGATATTCTCCACTCAAGATTAATGAGTTAGTTACAACATACAAACTAGAAGGAGCTGAAAGTAAGTGTAAGTCTTTTAAAAACTGTTTTATCAAGTAAATCTTGTTTCTTCAATATGAAATCTATAGTGTTGATAAAAATGCAAACCATAAAAAACCATAGAGAATAGAATATATCGAGAGGAATTAAAAGAATCTCTCGGTATGAATTTTTTCAGTCCCTTTCAGCCTGAAAGGGAGTTCAAAGTGTACAAATCATGTAAATGTTCACAAATTATATGCAGTAGAGTACATTAATACAGTATGTTCCCTAGACTATCCATTTCAATTTCGAATTTTTTAAACTGTTAAATAAACTTTTTAATGAATTAGGTGAATAAAAACATCATTTGATTTATAGTTATAACGGAAAGTCATCGTTTGTAAAGTGGAAGGCATAGAGTCTATGTGAAATGATCATTGGTCAATTATGAACTCAGCTTATTTTATAATTTTGTTTTCTTTTAACAATAATTTTAGATTTTCTATAAAATGATATTCCAGGGCCCAACAGGTTATAAAGCATAAATATGTGAAGTACACCTGCAGTATGGAAACAGTACAACAAAATGGCCGTTTTACACTTTTTTCTAGTAAATTCCTCTCTATATATTCTATTCTCTATGTAAAAAAACAGATATATATATTCTTAACTGATAAAACTTTGTGATATTTTGGAAAATTTCAAAGTCGGATTTTTTTTTGTGGAGTATCGTAAATTTAGAATTTTTTATCTCGATATCCAAAATGGGCATTTCTAATTTGAGGATAAATGCTTATTCTTGATCCCTCAAGTAAAATTATATAAGCTGTGTATTACCACCACAGGAAATCGAAGAGGCATAAGATAAAGATCAATGCTTAATCTCGAGATTCATTACGCAAAAGTTTTTACGTCATGGTTTTAACAAAATCCACAAAAATCAATAAAAACAGCATAAAAACTAAAATATATGTTGTTTGATAATTAAAAGAAGTAAGATTAAATCTTTAAAGAAGAGACAGTACAAAAGTAACACACAAAGGAGGTATTTCAGGGACGACTGTACGGACTTTATACTGTCTGTTTCCTTATATTCACGATTCCCTGCAACTGTAAACTCGTTTGTTTCGTTGGGAAATCGTTTAAAACATAAGACTTCGAATTGTGAAATATTTAGAGAGTTTCAAGTCGTCTTTATTGTCTCATTCTTTAAATGTATTCCTATTGTTTGTATTTATCCCACATAGTAGCAGTTTACAGATAATTATTATATTAATAAGATTTGTTTCTGTCATAAAAATTCAAAACTGTTTAAAGGGACCGTTGTCGTAATTTCATCAGAGTTCCCATTTAGAGTTGCATGTCCGATTCACAACCGTACTCTTTAAACTATCAGGAATATGATAATTCTAACCATGTGTTTCTTTGTCTCTGCTGCATAAATTCACAAGTCACTACAGAGAAGCCACAATTTGAAAAAAATCTATTTTCAGATAAACTCTTCATTTTTCCTTTACAGTCCCTTTAAACGAAGCTTTAATGCATTATTTTATAATTGGGCATGCCCACTTGACGTCGACCGTTAAATGAAAGACATTTAAACATTTTTATTGATTTTTTTTAAATTTTCTGGTTGTCTAGTCTTCATATTTAACATTAAAAATAATGTAAAAATTGATAAAAATAAGAAGTTTGAAATATTAAAGGATTACAAAGGAATTGCAAATATACATATAAGGATTAGAAAATGCGTGTTTGTGGCATTTTTCCCGAGTTCATTTCAGCATACGCTTACTTTACATTTCCGATTTTATTTCAGCATAAACTTGATATTGTAACGGATACTGTATTATTGTAATGTACTGCGTATAATTTGTAAACGTTTACATAGTTGTACACTTTGAACTCCTTTTCACGCACAAAAGGACTGAACCATAGAGTAATAAAACGAAGAGATAAAGTTTACCTCAGATGTACACAACCGACCTCTCTATTTTTTCAGTTCATTTGTTTATCATTTGTTAACTATCCATCCAGTTTGTGCTTTTTTTCAGTAAAGTTTGAATTTGTTTCTTCGCAGAAACTTAATATTTTTTGACAGAACTTTTAGCTAATAAATTGAAAACCTACAAATTTGTCAAAGGTTTGCAGTCGACATCCTCGAATTCTCTTTGAAAAAAAAATCTAAAAATTTGTCAATTTCATAAATCCCCCCCCCCAAAAAAAAAAAATACGATCACTCTATATAAAAGTGTGTAGTGTTAGATACGTAAACATATCGTGATGTATAGAACCGACCACTCTGTTAATTAATTAATTAATAGAGAGGTCGGTGGTGTACATCTGAGGTAAGCTTTATCTCTTCGTTTTATTACACTGATAGGCTTATTTCCCTTCTATTCAAATTTTGTGTAATTAATTAATCTTCTATTTCAGAAGATGAATTTGAATTAAATGGTTTTCCTGAGAAAGCTTCCATTTCTATTCTACTAGAATAGTCTACTAATTACTGTAATTATCATGGCTGAAGATGGACAGAACAAACTTCAATTCATATTTCCGGGAGGAGAAAAGGAAACTTTAACATTTCTGGAGGGAGCAAAAATATTTTCAGCAATATATTTACCTGATCTCAGAGAGAAAAGTGTTTGCCATCCTGGAGAACAGGGATTAGATTTAATAAATAGCGGGACATAGCTGATCCATGTAGAAGAGGGAGGGAACTCCCGGCCACCCTTAGCCTCCTTTATAGAGAAACGAGCCTCCCAAAGTTGTTTTGAAGTTGGAGCCTCCGCTTCACCGTAAACAAGCCTCCGCCATACAGCACAAATTTTTGTGAGAAACATTTCCGTAGTAAATTAAACTTAGTTTACATTTACTTAGTTGTAACCTTAGATTTAAACTAAGTATTCGGGAAAAATTAATCCTATTCAAATTCTGATTTTGTCACTACTAATCTCTTGCGTCTTTAAGGAGAAAATAGTTGAAAACCCGTAATACCCAAGAGGCGATCGAGAGTCCATTGTAAATTCTTTTAGTTGCATTATTTTGCTCAAACCATATATAATTCAATCAAATTAAAAACTAAAAAATATACAATTCTGAAATTTTTTTAGACTAAGTTTAATGTAGTTTTCATATAATAATCTATTTTGTTTTCTTTATATGATGTAAAGGACGATTATTTGGCTACTATAACCACTAGGTGTCTTTCGCTGATTCCTGTGAAATTCCAAGAGATTATGCAAGATTAAATGAAATTGAATAAGAAATGTTCTCAAAATTTTGAGTTTTAGCAGAAGATCCATAATCCACTACTTCAGTTATAATTGGGCACTTTTTTACAATAACTAATAAATTCGTCTTATCTTTGATGAACCTCAAATGTCACTTTGTCGAAAAATTTTATGTTTTATCTAAACACAGGAGGCTAATTTACTGCGTAGCGAAGGCTTGGCTCATGGTGGCCATCGCGTCGAAAATATAAGTTAAATTACTTTGTGAGTGAGTGTCAAGGAGAAGTGGTTCAACTGTGTCTTAATATTTATTAAATCTGTTCTCAGATTGATTATGATCTTCCAACGCAAGCTGTTCTTCTGCCCCAAGAAGAACTGGACAACATTGCTAAACAAATCACAGACGCTAAGGAGAAGTGCAATTTCCGTCAGCATATGAACAATGTAAAAGGAAAGGAAAGTGAAATTAATGTCGGGGGATATCTTAAAGTTCAATTGGCTGGCACAAGATGTGCCATCATTAAAGGCTATGATGTAAAGTTTTTCAGAAGATATACAACTGGGGTTGATGGCTCAAAAAATCAGGAATTTGACTTGATTTTGATCCTTGGTGAGTATTGTTCCTTTGTCGTTGTTGAAGTGAAGACGGCCAAAAAATTAACCCTAACAGCGCCCAAGGAACAGTGTGATAAGGGGGAGAAGTTTTTTCAGGAGTTGACCAGTAAGCTTGGACGAGAAAATTTTGAAAATTGGAAGTATAAAGCTGTAATAGCACTGCCAAATGTCAAAGAAAGAAGAATACTCAAGAAAAATGACAATTGTAAAGCTACCATCATTACCAGGGAAGAGATGTTACAAGGAGAAAGCTTACTTCAGTTGTTAGAAATAAACTTAGATAACAAATGTGATATCAATGAGGAGTACTTAAGCTTGGTTCAAGTCCTTATAGCTTCAGCTCATTCTAAATGTGTTAAACTGGAACAAACACTAAGGGTTGGGGCACCAACTAATTTTGTTCTTGAGACACATAAAAAGCTACTCGGAGAAGCTGTACCTGGAATGACACATGGAGAGGTAGAGGCTCATGCTATTCCAGAAGAGGTCAGCTTCTCCAGTCTGAAAAACCAACCGCTGGGTAGCGTTAATAGCATTCTTTTCTGGAATATGGAGCAGTTTCAATGTTTACAGAGCAATGCATCCAAAATACTTATTCATGGAGAATATGGATCTGGAAAAACTCTCCTGCTTATGTCAAAATTAGAAAGTTTACGAGAGCAGAACAAATCAGTTGTGTTTATCTCCTGTGTCAGTTTTGTTGAAGAAAGCCCAATCTTAAACATTAAAGGAGATATTAAAAGAGTGTTTTATCTCATCACTGGTTCTTTGCCTCATAAAGTTTCCGACAATGTGTTTGTCTATGATGAGCAAATGCGTAATTTCTGCAAGGATAAGAAAGTTGATTTTTATACAATAGAAGACGTTCTGGACAATCTTCAGCTGGGTAGAAATGATGTACAATCAACATCAGATCTTCTGAATGTTATCACAAAATTTTGTGAGAAGAAGCTTAATGAGAATCCAAACTTTGTGTTTCTTATCGATGAACTTGTTCCTCCTGTTAACAATGACAGTTTATTAAGAAAGACAGTGAGAAGTCAGGTAAAATTAGGATTATTTAGATGTTTCAAATTAAGAGTTGTTTTCGTTTATGGATGAAATTATTTCATCGAAAATGTCGAATCCTTTTTGCAACAGCAAAAATGTGTAAAATATAAAATCTAAAAAAGAAAAAATTTTATAAATCAAAACTCAATCATACTTTTCAAGGGATTTTACAAATATAACGTTTCTGAACTCAGTGTTTTTAAATTTAGATATTTGAAAACTATTTTAATTTACTTTTTTTCTGGCTTAGATTAGTGATTTGATTTACACAAAAAAATGGTGCAAGGTGGATTTGAGCTTTTAAAAAAATTGCCATCATATTGTTTCTTCCTTACTTATATCAATAAAATATAATTTTTGTTATGATTGAAATTTGGAAACTTTCAATTACAAAAAAATTTGATAAAACCAGAAAGGAGTGTTTTGCCACAAACTCAAATTTTCTAATCCCTCTATTTTTGCGAACTGATGATGCAAACCTTTGATATCTAAAACTTAGAGTATTTAACCCTCCGTTTAAGTAGCTGATCAATCTCTCGTAAGCAAATATCTTTACTCTTGAACATTATATATTAAGGGTTCAGTTGAAGACCAACCTCTACACAAGTTCCTAAAAAATCTTCCTGACGTTGAAATCACTATTTGTTTACGACCCTGTCAAGCATATTGGGCAAACTATGATAAAGTAGACCTATCTATTTTTGCTGAGAACTGGGCAGTAATAAATCTACCCAACGTTATGAGGTGCACTGAAAACGTTCGCAACAAGGCCAATTCAGAAAGTGTCAGCCAAAGGGCATCCAGTTATTCAGTCACAGTTGTAGGACCTGAGCCTAAAGAACTTGAGATGACAGAGAACTGGTGTGAAGAGGTACTTGAAGCTGTATCCGGAGAGGACTGTTTCGTTCTCATAGCTCATGCTGCTGCTGATAAAAAGTCTTTAACCCTCTTCAAAACAAAATTGGAAGAAAGAAAAATAAGATGTTTTACATTCTTTGGGGGTAAAGAGGAGGTGGAAGAGCTGGAAGGATTTGTCGGATCTGGAAAAGGATGTTTGATCGCGGGTCCTGATATCTTGAACGGCATGGAATGCCGGACTGTGGTTCTCCTTGTTGACAACAGTGTCTGGAGGCAAATGATGCAGTTTTTTTTCTCAGAAAGAAGATGTGATCTTTTCCGTTGCACAACCAACCTTGTTTTAGTCAAAGTAAATAGTGACCCAGAAAAAATGGATTTTCCATTTTTTTTCTTTGTCATTATGGCTTTACCGGTTCTAGGACTACTATTCCATATGTGCAAGTATATGTATGACCCAGCAGCATATCTAGAAGATAGTGTATGGATAATCGGAAATTTTTTGTTTTGCTATTGCATTGTATTTTTTATTATCATTGCATTTAAATTTTTGATATGTAATAGACCTGTAAATTTACCCTAATAATGTGGTGCTAAAAAACGTAATGGCCTTCTCGTTTTTTTTTTAGCGCTTGAAGCAACAAACATTAAAATATAATATAATATATATATATATAGATATATTATCAATAGATACTTTTTTATTTTTATATATTTTATTATTCAAAACGTTCAGATGGAAATAATTATATTTAATTCTTTTATTTGAGATTTGCATTTCTTGCTTGTTAAAGGGACTGTCAAACCACCTTTTAAAAATGTTGCACTCTAAATTCACATGAGTCATAATCAAGAGGATCTTTGTTTGGCGTTACTGTGTTACTTTTCTTTCTTGCCTCTTCTGCATAAATCTCACAAGCGGTTTTTAAAGTGGAATCTCAACAAACTAGACAGAGGGAGAATTTAAAAATTGATGCGACTTTACTAGTACAACTTTATGACCTCGTAGCTCCTTAATTTTAAATTTACGCGCAAGTATGAAAAAAATATTATATTTTTTTTTCTTCTCTATGGCTATTTGATATGAAAGAGTTATGATTAATATTAACATATAATATTTTAATTGTACGTGAAATTTACTTTATTTGGAGGTACGCCATCTATAGTTTGTATGTAAACTGTAATACAGTACAAACATCAAATATACAGTACGCTTTCGGAGTACAAGTGTATGAGGAGGTTTTGTATCAATTAGATTTTACTCAGTTTTCTCAAAACCGTTTATTAACCATGGAATATTGCTCTGTAAAAGACAGCAATAATATGACTTCCTGTGAAGATGTAATCCTGCACACGATAAAAGAGCAGTGGATTGCAATAGTCAAATGGAAAACAAATTCTCCTAGCCGGATATGCAGTCGGCATTTTGAAGAAAAAGTTATATTAGTCAATATTAATTTGAATTATTAGTGTTCAAGTTTTCCTTTAAAAGTGTATTTGAAATATGTGCAGCTCGAGAGGTGTTGAATTCTGATAATTTCCTCCATATGCTTCATTAGCAAACTCCCCAAATCACTTTCCAGAGAAATCACGATTAAACTAATCTACTTCAAAAGAGAAAATTATCTCGTACCTTCGTACTCAGAGGTTTAAGGGTACGTACCATTGTGAACCATACATCCCTCTCTATTTAACGGAAAAGTTAAAATGATTTCAACAGTTTTTTTAAATTTTTTTTTATTGAAGACCATGCTTAAATGAAAATAAGAATTTTCAGAAATCACCCTCGAGTACTGTAATATACAGATTGACCTTTGAAAGTGGAGTACATGGCCTGTACAATTAGTAAAGGATTAGTGTACACCATCACTCTATATACTATAACCTCGTTGTCTCCCCGGATTAAAACAGAAAATGGATAAAAGGGCTGCAGCTGCCCCTTTTTTACTGTCTTTGTTCGGATATTTGCAAGAAATAAATCGCAAATTTGAGTCGAAGTAGCCTTTGGCGATCATATAATATTGATTAGCCAAACGGACAACATTTGTTTTAACTTATACATTAAAGATTATTGGTAAATGTTAGAAGAATTGTTTTTTAGCTAGACACAAAGGTTTCATTTAAGAGCTGGGCTAATACATCTCAACATCTTTATAAGTTATCTTATTTCCAAGTTTCTTAAAAAAATCTTTAATTGATTGGTGCAATTAAAAAATGAGTTTTTTTCTCAAACAAACAAACAAACAATCAACCATCATTCCGTAGAAGTCAGGGCTGAGACCTTATCAAAAATAGCCACAAAATAAAAAGTATTCTATGTCGAATTCAGAGCAACGAGGTTATAGTATATAGAGTGGTGATGTACGCTAATCCTTTAATATGAAAGTTAATATTTATCCAACAAAATCGCTACTTTAAAACTTAGGGTGAATATCATATTTATTTTTGAATTATTCGACTAAAGTACATTAACAGACTTGATTTTCACAATTATAAAGGAATTAAGTATTTGTCATAAACTCTGATTTTTTAAGCCCTATATCTTTGCAACCCAATGCCGTATACCTAAGATATTTTAAACTGTATATTATTTTGGATCAAATAATCAAGTCTTTAAATTTCAAAGGTTTACACCATCAGGTTGTGAACATATGGACATTACAAAATTTGAGTTTGTGGCAAAACTCCTTTCTAGGTCAGTTTCTATATAGGGTTTAGGGCAGCATTCATAGTATACTTCATACATACTCTCCCATCAGTTCCCACTTCCTGTTTGTCAAAAATCCACTTAAGTCCATTCCTTCATCTTTACTGAGAAGATTTATCTTCCATCCAGTGTAAGTCCAGCTTCCAAAGGAATTGAGTCTTTGCCACAAACTCTAATTTTCTAATCTCAATATCTGTGCAATCTAATAGTGTAGACCTAGTGTAGATATTTCAAACTTAGATTCTTTGACCCGACAGAATTTATAGTTTGAAATATCTAAGGTTTAAGACGTTGGGTTGTGAAGATATAGGGATTAGAAAATCAGAGTTTGTGGCAAAGACTCAATTCCTTTGATATCGGTAAACTGTTGATGTGAAGTGTGATCAAACCTACACGTGGAATTGAAGATACCTGGAGGTACATGCAAACAAGATCTGTCCGACTCCAACACAACCAGGGTGGGGTAGGTGACATCAAACCTTTCATCAGGTCTCCAGATCATAGATGGTGGTACACGTGTACTATCAAGCCCACCGGAGATTCTCATTAGTCCATTGAAACTTCATTCAACCATGGTTCGTCAAAATTTCCTTGTCCTCATCGAAGTGAGCTATCCTGACTAGGTCGAAAGACAGGGTTGAGTTTACAACATGGGACTCATTTAGTACAGATCTCTCCAGTTTATAGTAGTCCCTACAGAGATCGTTCAGTGAGCGTCTCTCATGTTGTCCGCAGTCCGCAGTTTACAGTGCAAGGGAAAATCCCGATTCCCTGATAAATCCTAAACTTGTCTAATGCATTCCACCCGTTTGTAAAGCTTATAGATAAGATACACCCACTGTTGCTTGTTGAAACTGTTTATTAGATCTTGTTTCTAGCTTATTTATTACATTGCTAGAATCGATGATTAACCCTAAACACACCTGAGTAAAACCTCGTCTTTGCGTCTGTATATATTAAATGCTCTAATATCAATAATAAGAACTATTGTCAATGGATCATGCAGTTTTTAAATTAATAAAAAAGTTCAAACTTTTACCCTACTAAATCAATGATTGTATTTTGAGATAAAAGTCTCTGTAAATCTTTTTTCCATTATTTTTCTTCGGGTAGTCCTAGAAATAAGAATAAATGAATTAAATTTAAGAACAGAAGTATGGCACCCCTCCCTCCCCCCTTCTTTCTATCTATCCACATTATTTTAGGGTCAAGGATTGGTTACATAGGATTTTGTAACTGACAACTGTCATGTTTAATTTGAATAGAATTTTAACTGTAATAAAGATGTGAGTTTAAATATATGAGCGAATACCTTTATTATATAGATAGACACAGTAGAATATTGAAAACATCATTAATAATATCTAGAATTTGATGTCAATTGTTAACCAAAACTTTCATTCTCTTTCCTTGGAAAGTACCTACTGACTTCCAAAAGAATAAAGAACTTCTAATTGTCTAAACGCTTCCCTTTCTGAAGTGAAAAATCTTACCTCCCTCCCCATAAGTACGGCTCCATGATGTCTGCAAAGCTGTCATATATACTTGTCTTTATCTAAGCTTGGATGAAGTCCTCCTGCGCCTTCATCTTTCAAGCTGTGAACCATGTGCTGTCATTGGAATATAGAATAGGAACATAAAAATAATAATAATTGATAATGATGATGATGAAGTTGATAATGATACTGATAAATCAAGAATTTTGCTCAAATCACGTTTTTTCTTACAGGAGAGGCCCCCCCCCCCAGTTTTCTTACAGGGGGGAGGGCCCCCCTTGTTGGAAATTGCGCTTTAATCTGTTTTGCAAAAATTGCAAAATTTTCTTGAAATCCTCAGCGGCCTTAATTTTTCCTGGTGGTTTGACCGTTTGAAGCTTTTCGCGAATTCTGCGGCCGGGTTTGAGGAATTGAAACCGTCGGGGTCCGCGAAGCTCTCCAAGTCCAATAGTAGTTATCAGAGGCCAGCAAAGAGCTAAATATGCAAAAGATTGAAGTTTGCAGAAGCATATTGGGTCCCCTCCGCTGGAGCAGAGGCCACCGGAGGGAATGCACAATTGTGATTTAATACTATTACTCTACCGAAGGGATAATAATCAACACCCAGGTCACTAAGTACTTCATTGGAGGGTTGGTAATTAACACTCAGGACACTAACTACTCCATCGGAGGGTTGGTAATTAACACTCAGGACACTAAGTACTCCATTGGAGGGATGGTACATAACACTAATGACTTTAATTACTCCATCGGAGGGATGGTAACTAACACTCAGGACACTCTACTTTAAGCACAAGCATGCTGTACTTGCTTTTTTATCCCCAGCTAGAGTTAAAGCAAACCGGGTCAAATATGTGAACGGGTTTCTTTTCAATACATATTTATACACATTACAAACAGGGGCCTAACGTCATATTTTAAATTTACATATCAAGATAAACAGATAATGCTTGAATTATTGTAAAAATTAACTATTCTAAAAAATTCTATTTTTACCATTTAACGTTCACTTTATGAAATACAAACATACACTGACTGAAGAATGTACAACTAGAGTTAACCGGAAGAGGGGAGGGGGGGATATAAGTGTCAAAATATTGTTTTAAGACGGAAATGATTTAAAAGTGAAAAAGTTAAATTGATCTTTTGGAATCTTTTTATTTTAGTTGCGGTACTTCATGATCCAAGTAATTCAAATCTAGTACAGGGTGTCCCACGAAACATGACAGTTGGTAAATAGATTAGAATGTCTTCTTCCATAATTTGATAAGTTGTTTAATACCAAAGACAATAATGAAAATATTACATAGGAGTCATATATTGTAGTAAAATTAACTTCAAAGTAAAATATATTTGAGCAAAAGATTTTTTAAACGAAATAAACTGCAAACAGCTTTTAATTTCTAATACAGTGTATGGAAGACGACATTCAAAACTATTTACCAACTGTCATGTTTAGTGGGACACCCTGTAGGTAGTCCAATGCTTTAATTTTAAAAAGTTCCATAGATTTTTTATTTAATTCTTGAAGGTTTTTATTCTTTAAGAATCAAGGTTAAGATTTTTTAGGATTGAAGATACAAGAAAAGCATATAGTTCAAATTGACCTAAAAATGCTTTTGAGATTAAAAAACTGATCACTCATCCCAGAATATAATTTTCCAATCCCTGCATCGTAATTGGCAAGCTTATAGACCTGAGCTGAAAACTTTAGAATGGGATATCCCTAATCCCGATCTGTTGACTTATCTGGAGATTAAATTCATGAGGAAAACAAGCAATATTTAATCTGGAGATAAAGAAAAAGAGTGGATTAAGCATTAATCCTGAAATCCACTATTCAAAAGTTTTCAGCTCTGGATATTTAAAACTATGAATTATGTTAATGAAATACTAAAGTTTCACACCCATCTGTTGCAGAAACATAGAGATTAGAAAAATAGGAGTTTGTGACAAGTTTTCAGTTTCCTTGTCATGGTATTTAATCTAATAATAAATGATTTAAAAATTAATCAGAACAATGCATGCTTCAATAAAACACAGAAAAAAATAATTTAAACAATTTTCCTGACAATGGTTGATTCCAGAGTACATCTGAACTTTAAGACATCTCTATTTGTTTACTTTTTGCTTTCTTTACATTTCAAACTAGTTTATAAGTGATTCTATATCTCCTTGAAGGAAGATGCAAAAATTGTCACTAATTATTTTATCTAACTTCCAAGCATATTTTATTTTATTTCTGAGCAAACAAACTTTTTGCCTTATTTATTGTGCCACTTTAAAAGTTGAAATGTTTTTTGCAGCAAGTTCATCCTGATGAAAATAGGGATTAATCTTCATTTTTAAGCCCTTGAAAGCTTATTTCCCGAATTAGTTTTCTGAGCTAATTTGCTAATAAATCCACAAAATCTAAATTCAATTTACTTTTAGTTTTTTAAGCACATTTAAGGGCTATAAGAAAACGAAACAAAATAAATAACATTTAGCGAATGTTGAAGCATATTATAATTTTAGAATCTTTTTTTAATTCAATATAGAATCCCTGAGTTATGCAAGATAAATTTCATATTTCCAAGCATAAAATAATTATCCAATTTGTGCTCTTTACTCTATATATTTTTTCATATTAATAAATATCATTTTAAGTTTTTACATGCTTTACATTATGTACAATCTCCAGACAAAAATAATATCAACAATTACTTGCAGTAAAAATGTTAGCACGAATTTTTAAAAACAAATATATTAAACAAATATATTTAACGAGGTGTTTAAAGAGGAAAATAAATAGTTTAATCAATGAGAAGATACCTATAAGCAAGGAAGCTTTTGAAGAATTAGAAAATTTAGTAAAATCAACTTATTACTCTAGGAACTAGCATTAACTTGATGATACACATGGAGTTTCCTCCAACCCTCCTCCCCCATATTTCTAATTATTTTGGTAACATTAGCATTATTGTGATGTTTGTTATATAACTAGAGAAAATCTGTTTGTGAATATTAAAGTTTATAAACATTTCAAAAATTTCAAAGGACACATAATTGAGATTGGAAAAGGCACGCTATAAGGATTTTTAGATTAAAGACACCACAAACCAGAAAACAAAGATGTTTGTCTTTGTACTGCTTTGAATCATTTTTGCTACGGATTAAGAAGCTTGAAAAATGTTTAGGGCACATGTTTAAAAATAAATAAATAGAAATAAGGAAGTACAAACCCTCGTCAACATTTCACGAATAAAACCAATCTTCCCATTAGTATGGGCTACACTGTTTATGATGTTGAAAGAGTCGCCTTTTTTTCTGATATAAATAGACTAAGCATGCGAGGGAGGTGCAGAGCATCCATGTGCCCCGCAAACTGACCTCCAGAGCCTCCTGATTTACAAAATGGCCTCCGAGCTAACTCTTAGCCAATCAAAATCGGCTAGTAGTTAGCTTGGACCATTCTGCAAATAAGGAGGCTCCGGAGGTCAGTTTGCGGGGCTTATGGATGTTCTGCACCCCCTCCCTCAGCATGCACATTGTACAATGAACATTTTAAAAGGAGTCTCTAAAATTCTTTACAAATCTTTATAAACTACAATTAATAACATTTTATACTTGCACATGAACTATCTCTTGAAGCCTATAATCTCTTGTTGGCCATCCATGCGCTTTGGCCATATGCCTGTTTAGATCACCACGCTGTGTTGTCGTCTTATCACAGTAGTGACATTGATATCTCGGTAAACCAGTATGAATTCGTCTGTGTCTTGTCATGCTACTGCTCCGCGGAAACTTTTGTCCGCAAATATCACATTCATACGGTTTCTCGTGCATATGTACAGCGCGTAAGTGCACCATTAAAGTATTCTTTCTTGGAAACGCTTGATCACAGCAATCACATTTAAATATCTTAGGCGCATGCGCAAACTTATGCGATCGTAACATTCCGTTGCTAGCAAAAGATTTGCCGCATGCGTCGCATTGATAAGGTCGAACTCCCTTGTGCTCGTTCTCATGGGCCTCCTGGTAGGATGCAGTACGGAAACTCTTGGTGCAGTACGCACATGGAAACAGTTTATCGGAGTTACGTGATTTGTTATGATGATAGTTTGAATGGTTCTGCAAGGAGCGCTCAGTTACAAAACCTTCACCACATAGATCACAAATATACGATTTCTCCATGTGTTCGTTGAGCGCATGAAGCCCCGCACCTTTCTTAGTAGCAGCTGCAAATCCACACTTAACAATATAAAATGTGAATTAGGGCTAATAAAGTCACGAATGAATTTGATTCCTTTTGCATGATCATTCAGAATGTGATCGAACGGAGTATAGAATTAAGTATTAACCCATAATTCATACCTGTATAAAGGTACACCTGTACCAGGACGGATTGGTAGCATCCTCAGCAATCCATAGTTCAATTGCAGCTCTAAAAAAGAATACAAATTCATGAGAACGTTTACAACAATAAAATCGTAAACCTCTTATAAAATCCAAATCAAAAGAGTAGAACCTAAAAAAAATAATAATCCAGGGGTACTATACATTTCACGGTGCTATTCTTAGAAACCGAAATAATCTATTAACTGATTGAAGACTTGAAAGTCGTCTTTGACCTTAGAAATAGTTTAAGGCATTTATTTAATATAAGTATGGCTTTATTGAACATGAAACAATAATCACAAAATAACCCTATTCCTAGCCTTTCTAAAATGTGGTCTATCTTTTTTATCTTTATAATTACTGAAGAAAAGAATGATTTTGTTCAGAATTAGATGATTTCGTGGTTTTATTAATGAAAATCTATACAAAATTCTTATTTCTGGTAATTTTGAAGGCAAAAAATGGCAGACCACATTTCCTGAAAAGTATTTCCCCCTTTCAGAAAGCATTTTCCCCGGAAAGTTTTTTTTTAGTTTTTTGTTGTTGCTGAATTAAGGAAAAGATTTGAGTTTATATGTAAAAATTTAGTATTAAAAAGGGCTTAAAACTTGTCAACTGAAATCTATTTTCATTCCCCCCCCCCATCTGATTTCTACCTGAGTAGGAAATTAATCAAATTGTTAACCCTCAAAATATTCATGATATTAATATATTTAACTTAACCTGAGTTCATCACTACCATGTACTGTCATCACATGCTTCTTCAGAAGCTTCTGCATTGGAAACGGTTCTCCACACTCTTCACAGAGATACTCAGATATATCAAGGTGTTTCATCACGTGGTACTTTAACCAGGTCTTAGATCTGAACATGAAATTGAATTTAGTAAAACATTTTTTCTGTTCTTAGTCAAGGGTTGAGTCGGGTTTGGACCAGTCTATTTGTAAAAAGTTTGCCAATACATGGAAGGAATCTCGAGTACATTATAGAAATAGTTAAACATAATTTACACTCAACATCACAAAGTTTAGAAAATAAAGAGAAAATTTGGCTTTTCAAAATAAAGTTCTTTAGTCGCTAACATAGCATTTTATCCCAAATAAAAGACATGGAGCGCTGAGTCCCATTCCAAGAAAAGGATGCGTAATGGTGGTGGTGGGGGGTCGTTTTTTTTAGGAGATATACCTCACTTCCTACCTATGGGCATAGCTGCAATCTGTATACACACATTTGTATTCTCTAGTGGTTTGAACAAATACTATAAATTCGTCGCATCTTTTACGAGTTTCATCAGACATATCTTCAACTAAATTCTTTTTAGAGGAACTAGGGGACTGTATCTTGACCTAAATATAATAAACTTGTTTAATATCTCTTGTTTAATCTCACATTTCTTTTTAGAAGAACTAGGAGGACTGAATAACCTAAATATATATTAAGCTTGAAAAACGTGTCTCATATTTTATCAATCATTTGTAACTGGGTCCTAGAAAACTTACAATATCTCGCTTATTAATCGAAATTTACTCAAACATATTTTTTCTTGCTTTCGTCTCTTTTACCCCATCCGCGTTTTAATTATTCAAGAAACGAAAATTTCTGAATGAACCTTTTTGTTAGATATTTTCTTCTTTAGTTTACTCTTCTTCTTGTTAGTATCTGGTTTGATTTCTGCCTGCTGATTCTCCTCTATAGGTTCAGGAAGGAGAAAGTCTGAATCCGGTATTAGCGAGTCTAGTATCTGCGGTATCTCCGGATCAGGTTTAGGTTGAGGAGGAGCTAGGACGGACGGAGAAAATTCAGGTTCAGGTTCAGGACAGTCTGACATGAATTCATTCACAGCAATAGCAAAATCATCTAGAATAGACAACGTTTACTTCTGAGAATTTTTTGTAAAATACTTTTAATTACTTTTCAAGATGGTGTCGACATTATCTCAAGTAAGCGTACATCTATAGTGTCGCAAGGCTGACGCACAACGGTACCATATATAGATGTAGCCGTTTCTTAACAGTATTAAATTCTAAAAATTCACTTAATTTTCTCCGCAAGTCACTTTTACAAAGAAACCACAGTTGAAAATAATCAATTTTCAGAGAAAAAAAAATTGGATATCAGAGAACAGAGAAATTTGAAATTAAGCTCCAGATCTTTAAGGTACGGACATAAAACGGTAATCATATAACATTTGTCTAACAAAATAGCTTTACAAATAAGAATTTCTGGTTAATTTGAATTCTACCTTTCTGGATTTCTGATTTTTCAAGTATTTTCTCTTCTGTTTTCTTCTTGAATCGGTTTGTGATGAACTCCACATATCCCTTCTCCTCCTTCTCCACCTTGTTGAAGGGGTTGATGTTGAGGTGGGAGAGTACATGGTACTTGAGCACAGTCTTCTTATGGTGCATAAAGGTGCAGTGCACCAGCTTACACACAAATCCGGCCTCAGTCTGCCCTGGAACATAAAAATGTAAAAAATTATTAAGATGAATTCTACAAAGGTAAATACTTTCTTTAAAATCATTATACGTTAGGAATAATTTAGACTATGTTAAGATTTCTTTTTTCGCTGCATTGAGGAAACTAGAAGAATTTTTGGGTAGATTTGAAATATTGGACGAAAGAACTCGTCAGTGGCTAATTTTAATTCGCACCCTCCCCCAATCAATGGTAAATCAGTTCCCATCCCTGGGGAGGGAGAGGTTCTGAAAAATATATAACCCCCGAGATTACATACAAAGAATAGGCTATTACGTAGAAATAAGAGAAAGTTATTAAAAGTACTTAGTAGAGTCTGTCCGACTCTACAAAAGAAGTTATCAATTAATAAAAAGACGGTATCCGCCGATACTGAAAATAGGATTCAAAGTAAAAGAAAGGAGTGGGGTGGGGATTCATCCTTACCTATATACATATCACACTTCTGTCGAAGGAGAGGATCTGATTCAAAGCATTGATTAAAACCGTCCGTATCCGTGTCCAGGACAGTACTGAACATTGCTAAAGAGGAAGGACGGACAATCTTCTCAATATTCTTGCTTTGCCCTGCTAGTTCTAGTGTAGTTCTTCTCCATGTTAAAGGAGAGAGAAGGCTAAGGTTCTGGGCAGTACGAAGTAGTTCTGAATCTTCCTCATCCTGTACCTTGAGAGGGGTTGGAACCCAACCATCTCGAGATACTCCCAAAAGGTTCATGATATTCTTAATACGGAAAAATATTAACTTCAGTCAAAAAAAAATGTAATCAGCGAGACAAAATGTGTTGAATTTGAAAATGCGGGGGGGCTATGGAGGGGGGGGGGGGGAGAAATAACCACCTTTTCCATTCATAATATTTTACCTCATGATCTTCTATTTTTCCTGTAGATGCCAAGCATTGTAGAAAATACCGAAGTTCTGTCGCCTAAAATCATTCTTGAATCATACCTCGTTCGATTTTTTGTCGGAGAAAAAAATAATTTACCTATATCCTTAAAATTCATTTACCTCCTGCCCTTAAAAATCATTTCCTACGTCTTTACCCGGTCAACCATGAACTATATGAACTCCATGAACTACCTGTACTCCATGAACTAACGGTACTCCTTGGCACTGTAATTTAAAGGTCTCATAGCTCTCGAGCAAAAATAGATGACACTTTAGCAAATTACTTCTTAAAAACTATAGCTAACAACAAGTACTTTAAAGTGCTAAAATGTACATGTAAAGGGCTACAGAAAAGCAGAAGTGAATTAGAGCGGAAAAAAGCAAAGCCCAAAGCGTTGCAACACTTCAAAGTCGTCCCTGTCTTAAAAATTGATGAGACTTTTTATAAGCAGGCTGCATCTATGTGCTTGAACTACCAGTACTCCATATACCTGTACTCTATGAACTATATGTACTCCATGAACTACATGTACTCCATGAACTAACTGTACTCCATGAACTAATTGTACTCCATGAACTAACTGTACTCCTTGTCTTAACTGTACTCCATGAACTAACTGTACTCCTTGACCTAACTGTACTCTATGAAATACCTGTACTCCATGAACTTCCTGTACTCCATGAACTACATGTACTCCAAGTACTACATGCACTCCATGAACTTCATGTACTCCATGAACTAACTGTACTCCATGAACTAACTATACTCCAAGAACTAACTGTACTCCATGAACTAACTGTACTTCATGAATTAACTGTACTCCTTGAACTACCTGTACTCCTTGAACTACCTGTACTCCTTGAACTACCTGTACTCTTTGAACTACCTGTACTCCTTGAACTACCTGTACTCATTAAACTACCTGTACTCCTTGAACTAATTTACTCGTTGAACTACCTGTACTCACTACCTGTACTCCATAAACTACCTGACCTCCATGAACTGTCTGTACTCCATAAACTAACTGTACTCCATGAACTAACTGTTCTCCATGAACTACCTGTACTCCATAAACTACCTTACCTCCATGAACTATCTGTACTTGATGAACTACCTGAACTCCAGGAAGTATGATGGAAGGTTCCTCTGCTTGAAGAAGAATGGAGCGGAGTAGTGGACTGAGACAAGCAAGAACTAGACGACATGATTGTACTATCCCACCCTCGCAGTATACTAGGATATCTTGACTATCCACCACAAGATCAACCAGGAAATCAACCTTAGCATAAGTATCAAATTTGTGGTATCTCTCCCTCTAAGTACAAGACAATAAGTGTTTTTTTTTGTGATAGAAATCTGCAAGTGCTTTACTTAATGAGCCAAAGGTTGTTATTTATTAGAAAGAAAACTATATTTAACATCATCCTTTTTACTCATATTATTCAGCGCATTTTTGAGTGGGCCTTTGGGGATTAATAATAATAAAATGGCATTTCGTAAAAAAGGTTGAGTTTTACCAGAAGTTGTTTACAGTGATCTGGAAGCTGGATTCTTGTATTATCCAATCCCTCCATACTCTCAATATCCATATTTGAATCTGTAAAACAAGACTAAATACAAGGTTTACCAATAATATTCTAATAATTTTCAAGCTTGTCTCAACACTTTTATAACACTTTAATATTTATACGCTGCCTAATACATTATGTACAAAAAGTACTCCAATATCTTTATTACAAAAACTGTACTGCAGTTACTGGAAGAAACGTAAACAAACTCTCGTACTGCTTGGACCAAAATTTGGTTTATGTTCTGGATTCTAATATATGGAGGGTTACTTGTGTATTTTCCTTGATGCTTACAAAGTTAGGCTTTTTATTTAATATAAAGAAAATATGATTCTTCCATGAGAATTGTAATCAGCTTTTACTTCTTGTGACAAAAACTTCAATACAATAAAAACAACATTTTTAACCTCGATCAGAAATTAACAAAATAAAAAAAAAATAATTACAAAATTTTACAAATTCATAAATTTATCACAAAATTTTAATAGTTACAAAAACAATTTTATAAAATTTTTCAAATTTTTCAAATTTTAATTTGTACTCTTTGCATCGTTGGAATTGCTAACTTTACATAGTATTTGTTTGCAAAACTTTAATACATATAAACAATAAACATATCTATGTTGTGCTTTTTTGTAGTATTTGTTAACTAATTTGTGTATGGCATACTGTGCTGAACAGTACTTAACTGTACTGTACTTTTAAGTATCTGAACTGGATTTCTGGATATTAAACAGATCTGAAATAAAAAAATACGTGAAAAACAAACAAAATACAGGTTTATACAAACAAAAGACAAGATTAGAAGAACAAAAAATTTATTTATAATTTTTTTTCTTTCTCAAACCTTTAATCTAAAAGTTGAATAATGAGAAAGGAGAATTTCTTTTTTAAAATAAACAAAACTAAAATATTTTTTAGGCTGGATCCTGATCCATTTTTTGCCAAAACAAAATGTAATGCTTTTTTATAACACTCAAGCATATGGTAATGACAAAAAGTATATCTCTATACTCTATACCTATAAACTGAGAGTTGAGAATAGCTGATGCAGCATTGTGAGCTCCTAGACGATCCATATTGATGGTTTTTATTCCACCACTTCTTGACCTACACATATTTTTTTTACAATCCAATTATGTAATTTTTCTTTTATGAGGCGTTAATAAATTTCCATTCCTGATCCGAATCGGACTCTGCTGGAAAATCTGGTTAAATTCAATTTCAAATCATCCATGTTTTCAATCATAACCCGTTAAAGAAAAAAGTTTTTAGTTTCTAATATATAACCGGATAAATTTGATTTTTATAATTTTTATACTCTAAATCAAAACTAGAACAGTTTTGTTATCACAAATTCGTATCAGTAACCTTCTTCTTCTATCTAGTTCAGTGTGAAATACGCTTTCTTTTTGTCAACTTATAAAGATAAATGAGTAAGTGTACTGTACAATGTACATTGTACAACGTACGTGTCAAAGGACTACAGGGCACTCTTACAAAATGGATGCTACTTTACAAATAGATTATACAAGGTTCCTAGAAATTCCGTGCACAGTCCTTATATTGACAATCAATTAATCAGAGTTTTGGGGATACCAAAAATGTATCTCGAGATGACGACGCAAAACCAACCATTTCGCAAATGAAATCTAGTTGTCTTCTCACCTATTTCTCCAGGGTCCTTTAGGTTCAGGAGTAGGAGTACTTGTTGTATATGTCCAGCTGGAAGATCTCCTGCTTTCTCCGGTCATATCCTGGATTTCAGAACATCTTGTCTAAAAATAATAATACTAATATTTAATAGCAATATGAGGGTCCTAATAAATTCATATAGCTAGCACTAGATGGAATATTGAATATTAATAAATAAGTTTCAATAAAAACTGAGTGATATATTTGACATTTACCTTGTATGGATCCCACTCCTGTATAAATGCATTGGATTGACAGTGTGGAGCTGCCAAGTAGGATCCAGGTGAACTCCAACTACTCATCCCGGTCAAACTCTTGACCGGGGAGCAGCGGTCAATAACTACTCGTCCTCCTCGTCCTACACGTCGTCTTAAATAAGAAGAATTTAATTAACATCAAACGAAATATATATATATGCTGTAAGAATCAGAAAATGGTCAAAATAATTTAGTCCTTGTTTTTTCCCTTACTTAGACAATTTTCGTGAATCTTTTTTGTGATTTTTAATGTCACAACTGATTATTTAAAAAAAAACGTCCAGTTAGCGGTAAAAAGTTTAGTTACAAATTAAAACGCCTTAGCGACATTTTATAAATGAAAGACTGCGAAAACTTCACTGTTTTGTTCTTACTGCTGTATTAGTATTATATTCACAGATGTGCACAAAAGCAAGCACTGAAAAAATACCTGCAATACGCCACGCATATCCCTGGTATCTGGGTCCAGATGAACCTATCCTTGTCTGAACCCTGATCTATGTTCTTAATCCTCCAGGCTTTATCCTCCGGCTCCGACTGGAGCGGAGCCAGGTATTCTACTCCGGGTCTCCGGCGGAAGGAGAAAGGTCCTTCGTCTGATTCATAATCACTGTCTACAACAGAGATATCATCCTCGGAAACTATCTCCTGGCAGGGTACAGATTCAATTCTAAACAAAACATGATTTATTTTAAAAATCAATTCTGGGATGAAATCAAAACCAATCAAACCCAGAATTCGAATGAAATCCAAAAATATCATCAAAAATTGTCGATGTCAGAAAATAATAACTTGGTTAATTATTTAATAATCAACACCTAGTCCGCATTTAAGTTGAGTATATATTTCGTTGAAAACCCATTCCCCATCATTTACAAAAATCACTTTTCCCTTCTTGTGATATACAATAAACATTATACATAACTTAATTGGGGGGAAATATAAACATTTTTTGGAAATCATTATTAAAAAGAGGGAAAAACATTCTTATGAAATGTTGGGGTCTGATTTTTATTTTCTCATAATTATCGAAACTATTTTATTCTGGAGTTAATTCTGAAAAATATAGATTATACCTTGAACACCTAGATGCAGTGACCTCATTGTATAATAATCCATCCCAGTCCTCGGCCTCCACCCTCCTCTCTAGGCTCTCAAGGTCGAGCTGGAGGCCAACCTTCTTCAACCTCTCCCTCTTCTTCACAAACCCGAGGAGGGTGACGGCCCGGTGCAAATCCCGTCGGAGTTTCAGCATCACCTACAGTTACAAGAATTAAAGGGACAGTAAGCGTGAGTTGAAGTTACCCTCTATTAAAAGATTGCCGATTCACTACGGTACCCTTGAAACCTTGATCTGATCAAACATGTGGAAGATAACATTTTCCTCACCCAAAAAGTATTTAAATTTGATAATTTCTCCATTGCTTCTTTTAAGAAAGAAATGCACAAGTCACTTTCGCCGAGAACACGCAATGAAATTAAGCAGTTTAAAGAAAGAAAAACATTGAGTATGACTTTGTCAGAGGTGATAGTTTTTGTTTGAGATAGTGCGTACCAACAACGCTTGAATTCAGTAGTCAGTCCATCCATAAATAATCCATAAAAAACAGCTTAATATGATCTCCAATATTTTTATAACGTTAAATTTGTTCCGAGATATCCAAAAATAACTAACTAAATTCAGATGATAAAGATTTATGAAGAAATTTCTAATACAAAAGGAAATACTAGCGAACTGACCGTATAGCTATTCTCGTCAAACTTCCTATTCCTTCTTGTCTGCATCTTCTCAAACCGACGGCGGAACGCAACATAAGGATTTCTCTTGTCGGTGGTACAACCAAATCTCTCAGCTCTGAATAGTTTTTTTCTTTGAAATTAAAACTTTTATTTTCTCGGAAATGACAGCTTTCTTGCGCATTCTTGTAGACAGAACAAAGAGTAAAAAGGATAAAAATAAGTTGAAAGAAGAAGGTAGAAAAAAGGTAGAATGAGATTAAATGTGGAGATAGAAAACACCTGTCAAATAGATAGAGAACGGTAAAAATGTAAAATCTACTAGAAAGCTTTTTAACAAAAAAAAACACCTATAGTTCAAATGGTAAAATTTGATAACATATGATACTTAAATTGAAAATACTGGCAGAACTACAGTCATAACCAGAAAAGCCCGGAATTAATTAAATGTCTGATGTTGTTTAAAATACTAGAGGTGGAATTCAATTACCAGAAGTAGATTTAGAATACATATTTCTAAACTTGAATGTTTCTAACCTAAGTTTAGGGACAAGATTGTGTTGTAAGCGGAATTTTTTCTTAATCCAATATTCATATCTAAAAAAAAACCTTTAAGATAAATTGTTAAATTAATTTTTTAAATAACCTTTCTTTCCTGTGCTGTGGAAATTCCTTTCCTTTCTTAATTCGCCATCTCTTAGACACAAAACAAAACTATATAAGATAATCCTAATCCTAATCCTAATCCTAATCCTAATCCTAATCCTAATCTCAATTAATATCCTAGTCCCAATCCCAATTTCAATCCAAAACCTTATCCTAAACCTTGTTTCAATCCTAGTCCCAATCAAAATCCCAATCCTAATCCCAACTCCAACCCGAATTTTCAATACTTTATCAAAAACTTACACAAGAAGGATAAGATCGTCATCTTCTTTTAGAATAAGTTTTGCTTCAGCCAGTGACAGGGTTGTGTGACCACTATTCGTCTAAAATAATTATCAAATATGAAAAAAAATTACATGGAGAGGAAAAACCCAGAGTGATGTGGATATGGATAGTGGAGGGGATTAAAATTATATATTTAATGTAAAATAAAACTGTTCACATGAAACAAGAAAAACTAATCTATCTGTTCTGACTCAAATTCTGGGGAAATAGATAATTTTAGTGTTTCAATATTTTCATATTTTTATATTTTATACCAGGAGTGTATATAATTCGGCCCTTACTTTTTTTGATTTCCTTCCTCAAATTCGATTACTAAGAAGACATAATTTATTAATATTTTTATGCAGTACATAATAATCCCTTTCCATCCCCTCCTCTTNGGGACGGGGGATTTTATACACCCGTTTTATACAGAGTGTTTTTTAATTTTTTAATTTATCGACCGATCTAGCTGTAATTATCAGGGAACCCTCTCTTTGACCCGGCTTAGGCCAAAGAGAGGGTTTAAATCAAAAAGATTACAAAAACGGCTGAGATATAAGAAGAAAATAACGGAATTAAAAAAACACCCTTTATATTTACCTCTAGCTGAGTGATCATCTCCTCGAACCCTGTCTCCGTGAGATCCAGCTTCCATCTTTCCCTCACCTCCTCCTTCAGGAACCTAAAGTATAAGATTGTCCAATTATTAATGGTGATTGTCAGCGTAAACAGTTACATGCCTGATTAATTAATTAAATATTACTAGTTGTACCGCGAGAGCATAAATTTGATTTAAAATCCTGCTGGCAACCCGTCCCCCCCAGTAGGTTGTGGTGCGGCACACCTCCCCAGCAGGTCTTGGGGTGACAATCCAGGAGGATTTTACAGATGAAACTTTCGCTCTCGCTGAACAATTATATTGTAAAAAATACCCCTGTAAAATGTTTAACTAGAATCCTCCTTGTTAAACAGGATAATTCTTTTATATGAATAATTATCTTCAAAGTCTGAACTTTTGTATAATCTTTCTTTACGCCCGATTTCGATATCAAACACGGAAACTTTTAAGTAGAAGCGATTAAATGCTTGAAACAAATTACTCGTATAATTTCCTTTTGATTGGTCGGACTTTTGAAGATATAGTTTAAGGAACTAAGTTAATCTTTTCAACTATAAAAATCATATTTGTCAATGGATTAACAAAACAAATCAGGACTGAAATGCTTACCTGGAATCCTCTTCGTCTAGATCATAAAAAGGATAATCTTCATAAAAGAAAGGTTGAGCATGAACATATTGACTTGGTTTACGCCAGGATCCCCTTAACAAATATAATCAATTATTATTATTAGCAGACAACCCATCAAAATCATTCAATGAATGAATAAAGATAATTTAACAATTAACAAGAATTTCATTGTTCAATGTTCATAGATATTGTAAAGACGAATTAGAATCAATGCTTTGAATCCGTTTAATTTTGGTGCGGATCCGGATCCTAGATCTGATCTAAATAAATAGATCCAGATCCTTTGCATTGATGAAGTGTTTAGTGAGAAAAGTCACCTTTCTTTAGGAGTGTATAATTTTTTAATTTTTTATGAAATGAAAAAAAGTGCCATCAAAAGGTAAGTTTCGTAATTCTTTTTGATACTTTTTACCCCAAAAAATCATGTTTTTTTCCCAGAAAAATCATTTATTTCCCCAAATCAGCGAAAAATCCATAAAAATGTTTTGTTTCGCTCCGCGCAACCATTTCTAAGGAAAAAATTATTTTCTTGAATGATTTTAAAGTAAAATATACACCCGTGCTTTTCTTAAGTAAAAGAAAAATTCATTCCACTGTTGTCTGGTTACGTTTCGAATGTTTTTCTAAAATATTCTCTTTAAAGTAAACGATTTCTGTCAAAAAAGAAAAATAAAGGAAATAATATATCCTGATGTTTACTTGTATAGTTGTGAGTAGAGTTCATCTTCTTTATACTCAGGAGTTGGGATTATTAAATTCTCAGTATACTCCTGGACACCTAGCACCTAGAACAATATACTCAGTATACTCCTAGACACCTAGCACCTAGAACAATATACTCAGTATACTCCTAGACACCTAGCACCTAGAGCAATATACACTGCAGTTGGGATTATTAGATTCTCAGTATACTCCTAGACACCTAGCACCTAGAACAATATACTCAGTATACTCCTAGACACCTAGCACCTAGAACAATATACCGTGGAGTTGGGATTATTAGATTCTCAGTATACTCCTGGACACCTAGCACCTAGAACAATATACTCTGGAGTTGGGATTATTAGATTCTTAGTATACTCCTAGACACCTAGCACCTAGAACAATATACTCTGAAGTTGGGATTATTAGATTCTCAGTATGCTACTGGATTCCTAGTACCTAGAACAATATACTCTGGAGTTGGGATTATTAGATTCTCAGTAGGCTACTGGACACCTAGCACCTAGAACAATATACTCTGGAGTTGGGATTATTAGATTCTCATTATGCTACTGGATTCCTAGTACCTGGAACAATATACTCTGGAGTTGGGATTATTAGATTCTCAGTATGCTACTGGACTCCTAGTACCTAGAACAATATACTCTGGAGTTGGGATTATTAGATTCTCAGTATGCTACTGGATTCCTAGCACCTGGAACAATATACTCTGGAGTTGGGATTATTAGATTCTTAGTAGGCTACTGGATTCCTAGTACCTGGAACAATATACTCTGGAGTTGGGATTATTAGATTCTCAGTATGCTACTGGATTCCTAGTACCTGGAACAATAGTGAACTTTTTTTAAAAAGAAAATTGAAGTTGTCAACACACTTTGCAGTTAATGTCCAATTTTCTTATTTAATCTTTGGGAACACCATAAGAATCAAAGTTGAAAGAATATTTCTTTGGACATTACATGATCATATTTTTTGATAAAAACCCTTATGATGATGATAAATTGGAGGGGCACATGCAACATTTTTTCGTTGTATTGGAGAAAATAAAGGATTTTAGGCACTTCTATCATAATAAGGATTTTTTATTTTGTCACCAAATGTTTTTAGTACAGTGAAACAATTACAGACCTGTGCGGTAAGAATCTCCTGAAGATGTTTTTCTTCCTCCTCCTGCTTTTCCATCCCTGAGAGAAAAATATTGAAATAAACTAAATTTCCATTTGATTTCGATGGGGATCATTTATTAATGTCCGGTATTTTATCTATGTATTTATCCAAATATATATATGTCAGTCTGTATTTTTTTAGTATCCAACAAACTTCAAAAAAATTTTTTATCAAAAATTTGAAAATCCGTCCATTTACAAGAAAATCTGCGAATTTTTTATTGTTATTATTTTAAAATGTACCCACAAATCAGCAACAAAAAGCTAGGATTAGTAAACCTAGTCATATAATCACATACCAGTGAGGATGTACTGGATACCCCTAGCAGGCTGGATATCCACATCTCCAAGCTCCTCTCTCCTAAACAATGTTGTAAACAATTTAATGTCGAACATTGTTTAACATTTTTGTACGGGGGATTTTTAAAATTTAAATGGAAGTTTACAGCGTCAGATTTGCAAGAATGGTTCTGTTGAATTTTTCATTATTTTGTTTAATTGAGGAAGAATTATAACTTTTGAACATATTTGACAGTTCTTCATAGATTTAGTTAGCTCCGAAAATAAACCAAGAGCGACGCCGCGTCCATTAGATGAACTATTCAGATTCGAAAATTAGATAATCAAGATTAACACAAATTTGTACGACAATAAAATACAACATTTAATCTTTTTTAAAAACTTAATTTTCAAATCAGGGTAAAAGTTTTTTAAAAATTCTATACCTTTAGAAATTTAGAAATTTACATATTTTCTTTTTAAATGTCGTCATTTGTTACTTTCCAATCTGAAAATAAAACAATTATTATGCAATATACATAACACGGATAAAACAAAAATGGTATGAATGGCGCAAACAGATCGTAAAAACAATCAGCTATTTAAGGTATAGGTTTGTCCGAAACCGAGTCACGGATCATTCCATTGACTATATTTCCGGATCCGGATGTTTCCGTTTGAGACATGGTTGAAATAGAAGGAGTAGAGCTCGATCTTGTAGATCCTGATCTCAGCAGAGATGATCTTGAGAGGATTGAAGAGGCAATCTTTGATGCAGAGGTGATTTCATCACGCAATGATAACCTTCTTGTAGAGTGTTCCCTGGGGGTTCCATGGGAACTGTTCCCCAATGGACTAAACACAGTTCTTTGTTCCGTAACTAAATTTGATGAAGATTCCAACTGTTCCGTCGGAGATTTAAAGACAGTTCTTTGTTCATTGACATCAGTTGATGACGATTCCATCCGTTTCGAAGGTTCCGGAACGATTATAAAGGAAGATTTTGTTTCCTTCTTTTTAAAAACTGGTTCTAGAACTTTAAAAGATGAAGATATCGATCGTCCATGTAAAGATTCAAATGGTCGTTCCATGCTCATATTTGTGCCAGCCACGATGGTTGATATAGACATATTTCGTTCCTTTGGCAAATCTAGTTCTGTATCAATAGTTGAAAATGGGAGGCGTTCCTTAGACATTTCTGGAACAATAGTTGTTACAGATTCTGAACGTTCCTTCTGAAGTAAAAGAATATCAGAAGGTACCGCGGATGGTATTTTTCCGCTGTTCAATTCCATTATACTCTCCATAGGTTCAAATTCCTAATTTTAGGGTTGTAGTCAATAAATTCTCTTTAAAAGTTTGATATTTTTATTACAAAAACCCATCGAAAGATACAGAATCTTTTGTTGGCGAAAATATCAAGAAACTATTAAGAGTTTTGTTTAGTAAAAAATGGTTAAATAATATTAAATATTTTTAACAACCCTGCCTTTAATTCTAGAATTTCAAAATCAGATTCAGTTTCCACTTCATCCAATGAATCTAATCTTCCAATACTCTCTCCCTGGATCCGTCTAACCTTATCCTCCAAGTAGGTCACATTCAAATCCTTCTCCTCTAGTGCATTCACGTTGGGTAACATGGTTTTCTCAAATACGCTATCGATTGAACCCCTTCCGTAAAAATTTGTTATGCTCAAAAGGAAACTTATTAATTTAATGGGTAATTTCCTAAAGAACGATTTTTGGACCCAGCCCCCCTCCTATCAATTTTGTTCACATGGATATCATTGGTCATGTGGCTCCTAGCCTGTCCTAGCCGTGGCGCTCGGCCCCCTAGCCTGTCCTAGCTGCAGCGCTCGGCCCCATAGCCTACGTCAAGCCGTAGAACTCGGCCAAGAAATTGTTTTAACCTAACTTAACCCTAAAATCATAAAAAATAAATAATAAGTTTGTTGAAAAACTGAAAAATAAGTTGTCATGTACAAAATTGATAGGAGGGGGGAGGGTTCCAAAAATCGTTATCTAGGACAGACCCAGATAATGAGCTATGATTGTTGTTTTCTTATTTTAAATCATGAAAGGAAAAGTTCCAGTAACTGTACACATGAATTTCGAAAAAAAAGATTGTTATCAAATATCCTTAATATTTTTTTATTACACACATTTTTTCCTGTCGTCACTGCTGATGTATTTAGGATCTAAAATAAAACAATTAAAAAATGGTGATGAGAACACTTATAAATACAAAAATTGATGGAAAGGGTAATTATATTCCTAAAAAAAATTGGTTTCTGCTATTTTTTAAATTGAGGGATCAATGGTGGGATTGTTCGACCAGCTCAAAGACTACTTTCCAAATGTACAATTTACCAAGCGGCAGCTTCCCAGAGGTTAGGTTTGCCAATAGGGGGCCGAGCGCTGTGACTAGAACATTGAAAAGTTGCCGCTGGAGAAATTACATATTTGGGAAGTTGCCACTTGATAATATCCCCTTAGAAATACCTAACATTAACATATTAGATTTACATATCAAAAAAAATTTGAATTTTCCTTTCTATTGTTCTTTTCTTATCAAACACAAATGTAAATAAGAAACTTGCAAAAACCCAGACACAACATTTGTACCTGAAAACAGGAAGAGGTTTGCTAGTATCCAGTGCCCTGGACCGAACCGGTTTCAGGCTCATGTTTGTTTACATTCTCCCTACAAGCTTTAGCCCCATTATATCTATAAATTCATAGAACCGGTTTCAGGCTCTCAGCTTTAACCGTATCATATCTATAAGAACATAGAACGGTCTTGAATCTTGGGTTCTAAATTCAAATTTAGTTTTAATCCTAAAATCTTAAATTATCTCAATTCATAACAATACTAAATGAAGACTAATTTCCTAGAGAACGATTTTTGGACCCCACCCCTCCTATCAATTGTGTTCACGGTATATCTTATGTAACACATGGGTATAAATGATCATGTTGCCACAGCGCCCGGCCCCCTAGCCTGTCCTAGCCGCAGCGCTCGGCCCCCTTGCATGTCCTAGCCGTAGCGCTTGGCCCAGAAATTGTCTTAACTTAACATAGGAAGATATAGGGTCAGCGAGTTAGTTTGCAATCATCTTCTCCCTCATTTACCTGATGGGGAAGTTACGCAAAGAGCCCGGTCTTGATCATATGTATCCCAAACCATGCTTTGCTGAGACGGGGCCACAGAGGAGACAGTACTACCATGGGTTGCTTGAGATGCAACATCACTACCCTGAGTAGGTTGGGTTGAGGATGGGACATCACCACCATGAGAGGGTTGTGTTGGAGCCAAGGATGATAAAGCTGCTGCTCTGTAATAAGATTGATCAGAATACTAAATAAGATGAGAGTAATTTTAACTAACCCTTACATTCCTAACCTTCTTGAGTAGGGAAGCCGTTGAGAGTCATTAGAAGAGCAGGGAAAAGAGATGGTTGAGCAAGGTTCAAGGCTACTAGATTCAGATATCGCATTGCTCTCAGAATCAGAATTTTTTCTCTCATTTACATGAAGGAGAGGTCGGGGAACAGAGTTTTGATCTAGGAGCTCATTCTGTTGTTGGTGAACAGATATGTGAATAATTTAATAACTTAAAATATAAAATCCCATTTGCGGTTTTCAGAATCATTCTGATTTAAAGTACTGGAATAGTAAAGTTTAAAAATTAACAACATTTTTAATCTACCCCCCCCCCCTTCTAAAGACAATCATATACACAATTTCTTGAATTAAATATATACCCTTAGTTGATAATTGAGTTGAGTTGTTTGCTGATGAGGATCAAAAGGTGGTTGCTGAGAGTTGGTTTGAGCTAGTTGATGATTGTTGGAGTCAGGTGGATGCTGTTGGTTGGTTTGAGCTGGTTGCAGAGAGTAGGGTTGAGTGGGTAGGTGAGAAGGGGTTGGAGTCATTTGTTGCGAGTTGAGGTTAGGTGGTTGTTGATGGTTTGTTTTAACTGTTTGCTGAGTGAAGGGCTGAATTGGTCTCAGATAAATATTTTGAGATGGTTGCTTAGAGCTGGGGTTAGTTGCCTGTTGAGGTAGGAGCTGAGAGGGGCTTCTTAACAACATTTGAAAATTGGTTTGAGTTGGGGACTGAAGGGATTTTTGAGGTGTTTGCGTAGACAGGATTTGAGGTGATTGGTGGCTGTTAGTTTGATGCAGGGGAAAAAAGGAAACTTGATTTGGTTGATGAGAAGGGGCTCTTAATAGTTGTTTGGAAGAAGTGGTGCTGGGTTGTTGAGAGGTGGTATTAGTTTGATGCTGGTATGTGGCTGGAGATGAGTGTTTGTGGTATCGAACTTGATGTTGTTTTTCTTGTTGAGATGGATGTGCCTGGTTCTGGACTGTGGTGTGTTGAAGTGGTTGCTGAGATGTGAGTTGAATCTGATTATGGTAAGAGGGTTGAATCCCAGGTTGGAAACCAGGTTGATTTGGAAGAGATGTTGTATCATGCTCCTGATTGTACTGATGTTCAGGGAGAGCATGTTGATACTCAAGGCTATAAGCATCACCCTGGTTTTGTTGCTCTAAATAAATCCTCTCTCTAGTTTCTATTAGGTTACTCCTTTGAACTGGGGCAAATCCTTGGAAAGAATTTCTTGATCCATCCATGCAAATATCATTTTTACTTCTAAAACTTTCTTGCATTAAAACCCTATTGTCAAAGTTTTGAAAAACAGGATGATAGTAGTTTTTCTCTCCCTTCCACTCACGACTAAAAGTTATAAGAATTAAAATTGTGTCAGGTTTGTTAGAAGTTTATTATTACCTGAGTTTTCTATTAGAATAAATTGTAGGATCTGGTGTTGAAGGTGGTACTTGTGAAGCTGAGGGATATGGTGGAGCTTTATAAGGATGTTCATAGTTAAACACATTTGGATAATTACTTGCTAGAGTTTGTGGAGTAGAATGATATCCAGAGGTACTACCATGGGGACTGATGTGATGATTGGTCTGCTGATTACCACCTTGACAGGTTGGCTGAGAATAGTATGGAGAACCTTTTGGCCCATAATAAGTAGGACCTTGATTAGGTAGAATTGGTCTTTGAGGAGGTTGACCAAAAGATAAATTGGCAGGATAGTTATAATAGTTCCCATGAGATGAGGATGAACAATCTTTACATTGACCACCAGATGTATGCACAGGTAAAGCCTGTTGATAGTTAGGTTGGGCTGGATCTGGTAAAGGATGGTGGGTTTGAATTTGAATACGGGTTAGTTCTTTTTGTGGAGGATAAAATGTCAATTGTTCAGGACCATTTGCATGGGTGTTTTGCATATCAGATTGTGATTTCATAGGACTAGGATTGGGAACAGAAGGATTTACTTCAGTTAATTGGAAAACTCTTTGCGGAATCGTGTGGAGTGAAGAAGAATACTGTTGAACACTAGTGACAAGAGCACTTTCATTTAGGATTCCATTGACAGGAGATGATGGGCCAAGTCTAATAACAATTTAGTATCAATAATCATAGCTTAATAATTGAAGCTGTATTAAGATCAAGTTCAAAAATAATTGGATTTAATACACATCTTCACCAAAAATAATATAATAAATTTATTTCATTTGGGTAATTTAAATTACCTTGAATGATCACTAGATTGCGGAAGAACTGAACTATTTTCATCAGATTTATTGATTGAGAGATGAACAGCATCCAGCATAATATCCATGGATGAATTTGTACCAACTAATGCAACTACATAAGTAAAACACTTCACCTTCTGAGATCCGACAAATAAATTGAATTTTGGTGTATATCTGCTCTTTGCAAATGATAAATCACTTAATCATATCAAATTTAAAAGCTTTCACTGTGTATGTAGAATTTGAGCATTGTAATTTAAAAACAAGCTCTTTCATACAAAACTTTCGTTCTTTCTCCACATAAAAAGCTGTTGTAAGTATTTGATTTTATTTGAGAGAAGGGTTTACAAGTTTGTTAAAAGATGTATTTTACAGTGTGATTGCATTTCCTTGATTACCAGTGGTTGATGCTGAATATGTGAAGTCTTGCCCATTCTTGTGCCGGGTTGTTACATACTGAAATATATACAATCGTTAATATACCAAACTTCATGAATCAATTACAAATAAACTCACTTGTTCATTTTCAATTATGGGAAGATCCCCAGTAGGGTTAGTTAGTTCACCCCTATTTATTTATAATTCAGAATAAAATTGTTGCATATTTTGAAGGAATGAGAACCCCCACATTAGTAAACTGAACATTAATTTTTTTTACCAGCATCTAATACCTTCATGTTTGCAAGATTTCTGAAAATTTAAAAATGACTTTTTTTTTTCAAATTTGAAGAAAACATGATTTTTTTATCAACCTCAGATTAATAGCATACAAATTTATAAATTAGTTCCTATAATTTGTAACATTTGAATCCATCTGAAGACTTCTGTTTGCTCTAAGAGATGAACATATAATTTTTACTTTGGATGCAAAATAAATTTTTGGTATCAAGAATACAATTTATAGTTCTGAACTAATTTAGATAGACATTAAAAATTAAGGATAGAAGATGATATTTTTAGAGAATGTTTTCCAACCCCAAAGCAAAAGCAAGTTATTTATTTTTCTCTCCCACTAAAAAATGAATTTAAAAATGAATTCCTTTTGAAGGTTGGGGTTTATAAATAAAAAGCTTTAACATTTTTAAATTGATGTTAACCTCCCCTTTCCATTTAAATTATATATTATCCTTCCTAAAACTTTCTTCAACCAGAAGTTGGTTTCTACCTTCACTCCCAGCAACTGAACAAGTTAACAGTTAAACAGAAAAATTGACATAACAAATTTAACCTGGCCATGAAAAGACCTAAATATTTTTAACCTGTGTTATTTGAAGTAATATCAAGTGACATTTCATTCAAAAAAGAATGACATGTTCGATTCACAGTTTTACCCTTGAAAGCATTGTTTTATCAAGAATGAATGAGATATTCATGTTTTACACTTTTCAAGCTAGAAAAAACAACAATATCTTATACATTTTTGATCAGCTAATAATCTAAAGAGTACCATTGTAATTCAGACATGGTCCTTTTTTTATTTTTTAAAGTCTCAATACTTAAAAGATTGCTTTTGTAACTTATCTGGGACCAACGTTTATAAATTTAAGCTAGTTCAAATTGAACTACTTATATAAAGTTTAAGATTAAGTAAGGATTTGAATTGGTTTGAATTTAAACCGGCGGTAGGCAGCTCAAATTCATTAAATTCGGTCCCTGGTGCTTCTATTGATAACTAGCTTGGGAACCCAGCTTTGCTTGGAAATCTAAACTTTCTTCATTTCAGTCGACAACTTAGAATTGTAAATGCTATATCAAACTATTTTATATCTATAGAAAATACCTTTTCCTGAAGACTTGCGATTTGTCAATGAACTTGTATAGACAGGAAAATCCTTTGAAGTATATTCCTGAATAATAAAAATCATAAAAATAACAAAAAAATTGTTGTAGGACCTAATATTACAAAAATTCTAAGTAGAAAAAGTGGAAACTAAAAAGATCCAGACAATTATTATCGTAATATTTTCTTTTGGCAACTTTAAAAATCTCATTTTGACGAACATCAAGATTTCTTTTCTGCCACAGTGAATATTTGTACAGGGCACGATCACCTACCTCTGCTGAAGGGGTGAGGGCAAGTTTACCAGGTTTCAAGGGAGCTCTATACAAATATAAAACAAAATAACATTTTTCACTTCATCTTGTTTTCCTGTTGATCAAATCAAAATGTATATTTTCAATTCAAAATAACTTAAACGACTATACTATTTTATGTAAAACTAGCTGAAGTGCTCGGTGTTACCCCTAAATAAAAAAAAAACATTTTTTAGCCTATGTTACGCTACTCCCCGGACACCCATGGGTTCCTTAAAAAAATGTCAGCCCATTCGGTCAAGCCGTTTGTTCAGCTATTGCTAACATAAAAATACATATACATACAAATTATTATAAATGAATAAAATGTTATAAGAAGATTGTTGCGTTTTAACTGATACAAATTATTATATATACACATCAGCGAGAAGTTTTTATAGATTAATGTAGCAAAAGAGCTTAGATAAGAAAGTTAAAAAATAAACAGTCGACAAGTTTTCTTAAAATTCTTCATTCTTAAATCGATATTCAATGGAAGGAACACTTAACTTAGATCTTATGAATGAACAAAATGATCGACAATTTGACTGTTCATTTAAAAATACCAAACCCTGGTATACAAACGGTTTAATAAGGATAAGTCCCGATACCTTGCTCTCTCATCCTCAGACTGTGAGGTGAGATCTGAGTCTAGTCCCATGTATTTACGAATAGTAGTTTTGGTCGACCTTACAGATGCCGTTTTCCTGAAATATTTAAGATTATCTTTACAAAGGGAGTATTCGCCAAAAATTAAAGTGGGTATAGGCTGGTCCAGAATTGAATTCGATAAAGATCGCTACTAATTTTACTCCTATCTGTTGCACCTATATTGAGAAAATGTTTAAAAACGGCCAACAAATCGTCCTCAGAAAAACATCGTATTTGATTATATAAATTAATAATGATATTTCAACTACATAAGAATGCCCCAAATAGAAATCTACAATTATAACTAGTGATATCTGAATGATAAGGTTTGAATTTAATTGAATTATCTGTGGTCTGGGTAAATAATCCCCTTTAAATTGTTGATATGATATCATTTTGATGCCAAGTAAGATCCAGGTCAGTCTTTACTTATATTCAGTGATAAGGTTAGGAAGGTTTTAACAAATTTCATTGGTGGACATTAAGTTAACGAGTAAAAAGTTGTTCAATGTTTTCTTTAATATTCTACCAGTTAGATTCAGATCCATAAGTTTGAATATTTTTGCGGGCGTGAATCAAATTAGTTATAATTGCTTTTACCTAACTTTCTTCAGTGAAGTGGGCTTAGTAGAGAGGGACAGTATTTTTTCAGCTTCAGGTTCATATGGATTATTACTGAAAAATGTCATCTTCATTCTTCAGAACACATTTAGAGGAAAACCCATAATGCAAGTCATTTATATAAATACATAGTATTCCTAAACAGAAATAAATAGAAGTCCTATTTCAAAGATGCATAGTAGTCTTATTTCAAAGATACATAGTAGTCCTGAACATAGATACCTAGGAAACCTAATCATAGATACATAGGAGTCCTAAACATAGCTACATAGGTAGCAAGGGTCCATATATATTCATCCAATGCGATCCCAAATGTTAATTGATTAATATCCATGGCAAAAATTCATAATTTTGTTGTTGTTGGAAGTACGATGTCAAGTTGTTACAAAAGCCATACTTCAGATTCATGTATACTGCAAGGGAGTGTTTACTATTCTGTTCATATAAATTAATACATTGAAAAAAATTACATATGTGACTTACAGATTTGTGGAAAAGAAACAATGTAGATATTTGTCAGAATTCAACACTTAAAATGACAATATCTTCAACATACCATTCCATTAATAAAATTACGTCTCAGTCCTTTACATGCACCTTTACGAAAGTTGATTCAAGTTTTATAGTTAACACACGTTTAAAGCCACCTTTGAAATTTGCAAGTTTTTATCCAAATAAATAAATTCAGTTAATTTGATTTGGTTATATCACCTGTCAATATCAATCATTTGGACATGGCTGAAAGCAAGTTTTGCCAGTGCAGAGCCTGGGGTTGTGTTCCCCGGAGAACCAAGGTTTCTCTGGTTTCCATCCTTCTAAATTATCAACCATGGTCCTTTCTCATATAGTTTTATTCTTAATTTTATTTCTTTAGAAACCGTTAATCAAATAATGCTAAGGATCCATTTCAGTTTGATACGAATTTTGTTCCAGGATATTTCTTCAAGATTTACTGTTGCTTCAAACAAAACAAGAATATTCAATTTTTTTCCCCTTATTCTTATGCTAAAACTTTATGATCCATTCAGAGATAAGGAAATGTTCAATGATCTCTCTTTTTCAACAATTCAGATTTAGGTTTTGAAAACCAAAAGATGTTTTAACAAGTTTTTGTTGATATTTTGCCACTAGTATCCAAATATCCTAGGGATCGGGACCTCAGAATTAATATCAAGAATTAAAAAGTTAAGACTTCAAATTGAACTTTATTTTATGCATGATATTAGACATTTGATGCTTCTTATACCTATGCTGTCTGAATAATGAGGTCAGATCTGAAATCCTCCTCTAACAATATTTTTCATGGGAAAAAGAATTTAACCTGAGGTTCCAATGGGCTTAGTAGATCTGACTGCTTTTTGGCAACAGGTTGAGAGTTTTCTGCTACACCACCTTCATGAAAGCATAAGTTGACAAAAAAAATCTAGGTACGAACGACCAGCTCAACTCCTTTTTTACTTGACGATATTAACTTTAACCTTATCTCAGGAATATAAGGTTGGCTCAATTACGAAACAAAATTTGTAAGAGCTTAAAAAATAGTTAATTACAGATTACATTTCTTTGCTTCGATATTTTTTACTTAAACAAATATCAACTTTTTTACTAATTCACTATTAAACCCAATTTGTATATTAACGCATACTCCAAAGCTTCCCTTGCCCAAAAATACCTAACAAGGGTGCTAACAGCTCTGCATCTGAGAGATCAGTTTCCTCGGGCTGAACGTTACACAGGAACCTAGTCACAACATCTTATGGCAAAACATTTAGTACAGAAGGACCAATAAACTTTGAGAAAGAAAGACAGCAGTTGTGCAGTGTACACAGACACATTTCACTTCTTATGTTAAAATTTCTGATACTTCTTGCATTTTAACAACAAAAAATATAGATAATTTTGCATTAATATCGTCTTCTCTTTCACAGTTTTTTAGGCCTAACTGTTTTTACACTTAAGAGGGGATGTAAGTTTTATTACAAGTGATTTTCCATGCAAAGAGGACAATGCCCGATTCACAACGGTACCATCTAAGCCTGTATCTGATCTGATGTGGAAGGTATTATTTTTTTTTCTAGGTGTGTTCAATTCTGATAAATCCCATATGTTTTCATGAAGCAGAAATGCGCAAGTCAGTTTTGCAGAGAAGCCACAATTGAAAATTATCAGGGTTCCAAATAGAAATCTAATAGATACTTCAAGAGACAAAATTTTGTAGGGTACCGTTATGAATCGGCATCTACATATTTGCATGGAGGGTCACTTAAACATTACGCTTGAAGAAACTAAGAAAGGTTTAATATTCAGAAATTTAAGTTTAATTAAAAGATGCTCCACTATTAGATGAGATCATAAGAAGTTATAAGGAGTTATTCGATACATTAATAAAATCAAGCCTCTCTAGTCAAAAACATTGATGAAAATGCTATACTTGTATCTTGAATAAGGAAAACAAATTATACTTCTTTTTGACTATTAAGTGTAGACCTAATTCTTAGGTGACCCTACATTCAATAAGTGAATGTTCGACATAATATTATTATAATGTCATTATAGTTCATTTTTAAATAAAAAATTTAAAAGGAAAATTATCCATTTTCTTAAGAAAATAATGATATCTGAGTTATCAAATCGGAAATTCTACTCTGGTAAATAGTGTCACTTGTAATTTCCTCTTAAATTATAGCAATAACTTACGATTTTTCCCTCCGCAATGATCTGGGGAACTTTCTTGATCTAACCGAACCTGAAGGTCGTAGTGGTCTTTTCCCTGAGGCATTTCCTGGGGTCTTAAATAATATATGTCTTTAAAAAAAACTTAAAATTTTCCTTTGCTTAAGCACAAACAAGAAGTTAAGTAACCCTGAACAAAATAGAACTCGTTTAAGGAACGTAACAATCAATTGGTGGACAAAAGAAATGCATTTAGGGGGTGGGTCTGGGGTCTCCGCCCCCCCCCCCCCCACATGAGTCAGTAAAACCTTTGGTTTTCAGGGGTTTTTGGGCTGCAACAGGTGCTAAGCCCCACTTCCTAGAAAAAACAACAATTTAGGCCCCTCCCCCCTTCCTGGTTGGCAACCTATTTGAGTAACATGGCAAGCTCTGTATTCAGAATCTTATAAAGAAACTGAAGATGTAATTTCAGGCGACCATTTATTTAAAGAGTGGCACTTCGATAGAAAAACACCAATTAATAATCATAAAATTTTATTTAGAAAAACGAGGATAATTTCATAAATTGTGCTCAGTTAGAGGTTTAAAGGGTACTGATGTGAATCTGTCATGCCTCTTTTGGGAATTGCATTTAAAATCATGTTGACAGTCGACAAGTTTAAAGATAATCCTATATTTTCCTTAGCAGTTGGAAAACTTAAGTTTGAAGGATCTGGTGATCCAAGGACTCTCACCTGACATCAATTCTTTACATTAAAATTAGATTTTAGATATTTTACTTCATTTGGCTTCCTCCCTTACTTGCATGCAAATAACTTTCAGATGTATTGTTTTCTTTAAAATGATTCAATTTCTGTATTAAATTTAATTTTTCCATTTACCACATGTTTAATTCTAAGTGACCCTCCATGTAAAAATGGTGTGCCTGATTCACAACACCACCTTCAAAAGCTTTATCTGATCAAATTGTCAATGTTCAAAATTTTTAAATTCTCTACCAAAAAGACTTGCGCATTGCTACTGCAGGAAAACAAATATGAATTATTATAATTTAACAATTAAAACCTGAAAAACTAAAATATCTTCCACATTCTTGATCAGATATGGGTTTCAAGGGTACCGTTATGAATCGTTCACTTTGAATTACACTTATGGCAAAGAGAATTCGATATAAACTGTCTTCTATAGATCCCAAAATGCAGAGGGAAACCAGTGTCTGTTGGTAAAGCTAATCTACTTGGCTAGCTGCTTGCTTCAGGCGTATTCATCTTCTTTAAAAACATCCCCCCCTTTTCTAAATTTAATTTTTCATCAGGAATGGTTAATCAGGGAGGGAAAATTTTATCGATATTCACTGAAATTGGGGAAATTAACAATTTTTGGAAAAAAAAGATTCAAAGAAAAAGAAATTTTTTATCAGAATTGATTTTTAATTTTCTTTTTACCCTTAGTATCGTCAAAAATCAAAGGAAGATTAATTCCTAAAATTCTTTGCCCTTGTGCAATGTGCATAGATTATTTTAATGTTATCCTGAATAATTAAAATAACTTTTGTTCAGTAAACGATTGATTCCTGATTATTCTTGTTTTCATCGTATTCTAAATCTGAATTATTCCTGTCTTCAAATAGAGCTAAATCTTTTTCATTGAAAATGTCAAATTCTTTCGACACTATCAAACAAAATTATGAAGTAGCAAATAAAAAGCAACAAAGAAAAAATTAAAAAATCAAAACTCATCAGTTATAAAAAAAAATTAAGGGCAAGTCAATTTTTAAATTTTTTCAGAACATGTTGTTGCGGGTAACAAAAGATTCGTCTTAAACCCCTGAAAACCGTCCATATCTGTCCGTTTTTAGATTTTTCTAAAATCATTTTATTTAAGACTAAAAAAATATTTTTTTTACCTTTCCAAAAAACCGGCTTTTAATTCACAATTTACTTAATTTTCAGATGCACTTTTACGTTTTTAAAGACGGATATTTTGATACTCATAAATTTATTTCGACGATGTTTTTTTCGGCTTACATTAATGTGTTTAAGTTCAAGTTAGATCCAAATTAATCAAAAATCAAAATATATGAAGGAGCTTTCCTAATGAAGTATGAGACCGTGTTCCTGTTTCTACATCATAAAATACGTTATCTGCTCTTATTAAACATTCATTAAATTTTTGTTAGATTTTTATAATTCTGAAAAAGTTTAAATCTTTTCCCTCCTTTTTAGGACATACCTGAAATTTGGTTGGGTTATGCAAAAATGTGTGCAGAAGTACCAAACCAACTGATTTTTTTTATGTAAAAAGTTAAGCAATTGCATTTGAACAATGAAAAAAATGTTTAGTTAAGAGCAATCCTAATGGAGTAGATCTTTTAGATTTTCCTGAAATTCTCCTCGACATTTCTGAGCTCAGGTAGGAAACCTGATTTTAATACTTATTCTAAAATTATGTCGTAAAAAAGAGGATTGTTGTGGGTTTTTTACTTAACTACAGTTAAACCCTAAATAAGCCATACATCGGAAGAATTCATCATATGTCGTACTCTTCACTTTCTGATAATGTAATGCTGCAAATATTTAGTTTTTTAATTAAATGATTTTATGGAGCTCTTCAAAACTTTTCCCGTATATTCATGGCTATTAATTTATTTTCACAAATACTGAGATTTACGTAAAACCCATCGAAAAATTGTATGTTCTCAAATAAAAAACAAAACTTTGCGAATTTTTATGTATAAATTGGAGGATTTTTAAACTTTTCTGTATTGGCAAAAAAAATAATTTTTTTTGCAATAATTTACAGATAAAATATGAAAAGAATATTGTATTCCTGGTAAGGACTGGTATCCTGCCCTTCGGCTCCAGATGGAGTCAATTTTTCTAGTCCAGTTTGACAATAAAACTTCGAGTTCGGGGGCGATTCCTGAGAGAAAATTCTTTAAGACAAAAAAAAAACAGCGCTAAACAACATATCTAAAGTCCCTGGCTCAGCACTCCCTCCCTTTGGGGCATGGGGGGGGGAATTGTGTTTTTAGTTGAAGCCTGATCTGAAAGTGCATTTGTATTAATTGGACTTATACTAATTGTCTACATGAAGTTTATTTAATCAAAGTTTATAGGAGCTAGCAGTAAAAAATTAAAGTTTACTTGTAAACCAGAGAAAGATTGTACTTCAAGCTGTGGTGCTCTCATCTGTATATTAGAACTGCTACCCTGGATTCCCAACCTTAGCCAGGTTTGGGAATTGTCAAGCTGGTCAAGCTGATCTTTCCCAACATCTCTTGGAACCTGGAAAATACGAGATAAATTTTTTTTTCGAGGTCGGAATTCATGAACAAGGGTCAAGTTATACTAGCCACAGCTAGTTCAATTACTTCTTTTGTGACTTTGGAACATCGGAGATGTAGTTTATCTTAGTTCTACTATTAGTAAATTTTCATCTCTTCAATTCGGACTTGTAAAATATCAGCAGCAAAGATTTAAAACCATACAGATCACCCCCCCCCCAAAAAAAAACGTAATTTCTGCCAAATTATTTTTTGACTTTGTATATATGTATATGGTAAATTTAAACTTTGCCATCTAATTTACGAATGAAACTAAAGAATTTATTACTAAATCTACTTTTCTATAACGTATTCTGTATTTGGTCCAACCGAATTCTTTTGATTGAAAAATTTAAATATCAAAGTTCTACATCAGGTGGCAAAGATGTAAGGATTAAAAAATTAACCCTTACTGGTAAAGATTAAATAATATGCAAAGGGGATGTCCCCACTGAAAATTGGAGAGAAGTCCGCTTTCTAGTAAAATTTTAAAATTTGGGGCAAAACTAAGGAAAAAAAGGCAGTTTCTGGCCTCCTTAAATCAAATCAAATACTTACTTTCCATTATACGCCGACCAAAGGAAAGTGCTAAGGAGGAAACCAAGGCAAGTTGAAGCAGTTACAACCAGAACTACTACCGCTAATGTACCGATATCGGTCATGGCTGTTACAGAGTATCGAAAATAAAAAATATATTATTTAGAACCTTTGGTTAGTTAGGATAAAATATAAACAAAGTAAGCGACTGCTGACGAGAACACGATAACTAATAAGTTTAATTTAAGATAACTTTTTTTGTACAATTGTACACAATCACATGCAACATTGTAAACACTAAGTACAATTGTTTAGCCATTAAACTCAGAATTCAAGTCGTCTTCTTTTATATTTGTTAATAATGGTGTTCAATTTGTACTTTACGTTCAAACTTGTGTCAGCGAGATGCCGTAACCTATTTCAATTCTGTGAGCTAAATTTTAGAAATTTTGTTTAATCGTTGTGTTGCCTGCCGTATTTGTGTTCAAATTACTCATAATTTATTCTAATATCGAGTTTAAATATTGATTATTTAATTTGAAATGATTTTTTTGACATTTTATTTACTTTTGTTTTGTGAATATAAAACTTGTGCAAAACTCAGGTGTACTTTAGTTTGCACCTGCAGGTGTTAATTAGTTGTTGGTTGAATTGAAGATCCTGTGAGTTACCGATCTCGTTGTGATGTTAAATCAAATAAAATGTCGCAACATTACCTAATATTACGAAAAGCGAAGAAGATATTTAGTTTAACTATAATTTTTTGATGATTTCTTAATATTGGTTTGTAAACTTTCGCAATTAAAATGTGTTCGTTTAAATTACCGAAAACAGTTCGGCAGAATTTGGATATTAGATTATGTACTCCCCAACTTATTCTCAAGTGTACAGTCCCTAATAATGTAATCAAGGAGATTAAAATTTTTTAATTTTAGTGTTTATAAAGAGAAGTATGCTTTTCGGTGGTCGAAATAATGAGTAACCATTGGCCTGTCGTCAAAGTTCTAGGCACGGAATTTAAGTTCAAATTTATACTAACCGATAATACTTCCAAGTATAAAATTTTCCGAACCCTTAAAGTAAATGATAAATGGGCATTTTCTCATCGTAAGGGGTGTCTACGACTGTAGTAATATGTCAAAGTATAATTGAAGCCCACTGCACTGTAAAGGGAGGGTGTGAAATCTACAATACATTAAAACAGTTTTGTTTTATACTTAATGTAAACATTACTTTGGGGTCATTGGTTTACAGAAGTGCAGACACGAATTAAGGCTTATGTTATACTTTAAAATATTTTACTATTATCAAGATTTGAAATGTCGTTTGGGGACGTTCAGAATATGCGGGAGATCCCGTCTATAGCATACTTCTGTTCATTGTTCCACGAAACTTTAGGGACTATGGACTTTGATATACAGGTATTAACTTTGATCTGTTAGGATGTCACAAAAAAATCTTTCTTTATCAAAGTCAGCCAACATATGGTCGATGATGCAAAACAAGAACAATAAAATAGAGATTTCAAAAAACCAGAAGCTCCCATCATATGATTTTTTATACAATTTTGCATTAATTTTGTCGAAACCAATATTCAATAAAATAAATGTTAAAAACTTTTAACTGATATTATTGTAAAGCTAGGGGTTTATTTAAGATGATAATTCACGTTGTGTCAGATGAGTATTTAAATTTGTATTTTGCGAGTGTTATTGTGAACATTAATCCTAGATGAACCGTTGCCGTCGGATGCTTTACCCTGTAAAATGTTGGAAATTCAGTAAATTCAAGTTTATTGTAATTTGCTTGTGATCCTATTCTTACTTCTAAAATAAGTTACGATACTATGACGTTATCTGACGAGAAATGTTAAAAATAAGGCAACGAATTCGATATAATATGCGTTCCGCTGTCATTTCCCTCAATTTCATAAAATCTCGAAAAAATGTAATGCATTAAAAAGTTTTAGTCACCATCCATTTCAAGAGTGCCATGGACGATTCACAACGGTATCCTTTAAACCTTGATCGGATCAGAAGTATTGAAATCACCTTGTTTTTCTACATTTTAAAGAGTTTGATAATGATTTTTTTTACTCTATTTCTTTTGGGGGAAAAATCTGCTCGTCCCTTTATAATCAGACCACAACTGTAAATAAACACTCTTCTGAAGTAGATATGATCTAATTCATTCTTGTTCAGTAAAAGCTTTCTAGGGTACTGCTGTGAATCGGACATGCCACACAAACATAAAAGTGATGGATCGGTGTCGCGTGAAATTACATCTTCCGTCTTTATACAATGTTGATTTCACTACTTCAGGATTTGGAGAATGCTCTTGTTCTTGGCGTGGCTTCCCAGGACATGTTTGCGGGGGGATTCCTTGATAGTTTAGTTACAAACCTTCTCCAAGGTTGTGTTCCATCACTAGCCAGAACCATCTCCTCCACCAACTACTCAATATACCTTAGGAACTACTCAGTCTTCATCCTAGGACGAGTACAATTAGTTTAATATTTGATATACTCCCCAAGTATCTTGGTTTTTCTTCCGTTGGTAAAATAAGACAGATTTAATGCAAATTCATGAAAATTATATAACATTATATATACTTTGTTGGTTGTAAAAATTTTAATCTTCATGATCTTTATCAATAGTTTAATTTTGATGATTATAATTGAACGTAGAAACCGAGAAATTAATACAAAATTTATTAAAGCACACGTTACGTCTGTAATGTAAAGAAACTAATATAATTTTCAATACAAATTCATGGTATTTGATTTGTTGACTGAGCTAGTTGTCCAGGAAACTTTTAAATTCTGAATTACAAGAATATCAGGAGGAGAGTTTTACAGGTGTTATTATTTTTATAGGTTTTATTTTGAAGATTTTATTGGGGTGAAATTGGGCATCAGGTGATAAGTTCCACTCCCTCTTTCATTTTATCCCTATAATTAATTCTCCAATTCAGTGAGAAAAAAACTTTAACAGCAATTACATCTCTTATGCATTGGAGAATTGTGAAAAAAGTCATAACTCGTAAATGTCATTGATAATGGTGCCATTTCGAATACGAGGGGTAAACATTGAGAGGGAGCGAAAACAAAAACTAATATTGGGGCGGAGTGGGAATAAATGTAATAACAGAATGACATGTATATAAAAAAATAGATTTCGATATTTAGAATGTAACTCAATAAAATAAAAATAAATTTCAAGAACCTTAATATTTAGATATTGCTCCGCTGTGGGATCCTTTTGACGAGAACACGGACTCATTCTCAGATCTTTCAATCCCTGACAAGGTAAAGGAGACAAATATGTCATAATTGATGTAGAGGGGTAGGGGGGTGGGGATTGTTGGGATATTTAGGTAATGTGGAATTCAGGTACTAATTATTAAACTTTACCTCTCGAATCTTCTCAGATGAACAAAAACCAATAAATGACAAAAAATGTTAATTTCATCTGATTTAAGTTCCTGTGTACATTATAATCCTTACAGGAGCAATATTTTATCCTTTATTTTCCCAGGCTCGTGTTATCCTGCAGTTAACAGAGTTAAGACTTCAAGCTGACGATGTGTCTGACAAAATTAAGGAACTTTATTCTACAAAATTATTTTCGCCGTAAATTAAAAATTAAGGGTGGGGGGGGGATTTCTATTGGATATTATACCCTGCTGATGTGAGAAAAGTTCTCCCCAAAAGTCATAATTTGAATATTTTATTTAATGTATCCTCTTTTAAGAGCTAATGAAAATTTATCATATTTTAAACACTCGATGTTAAAATCAGATGGTCTTCTTTTGTCTAATTAAATTGTAATTAATGTATTCTTTATTTTTATGCGAGTCTTGACTTAAGACGGAACGCGTAATTTCAATTGACCATCAATGCAAAGATGGCAATGCCCAATATCTTCAGAAGCTTTGTCTAATGAAGTATAAATAGAAATTAATGTTTAACATTTTTAAAGCATAATTTTTTTGTGGGTCCTTTAGAAAAGTGACTTGTTTAAACAAAGTTTCCATTTCAAGGATGCTGTTGTGAATCGGACATTGCCATCTTTGCATATTACGCTACTTGAAATTACGCTTACAGTCCCTTAAAATTGCGTAGGATAAAGTATTGTGAATGTGCAGGATGTTCCGGTGGAAAGTTTACGACTTGAACCACTAGGTCAGGACAGTGAAGGAGTGGTGTACTGGTATTTCTACGGTACACGACTGTACAAGGAAGTTCCGAAAAAACGAAAGAAAACCAAAGATAAAACCAGTGATAGCAACGACAACGGGAAGACTAAGAAGAAGAAGACGAAGGTTGAGGATGAGGAGGAGACAGAGGACCTAGGACCTCCGGGTTGGTATCTAGCTTGTAGAACTGAACAGGACTGGACCGATCTAACCGACAGATTGGGGAAATCTAAAAAGAAAACTGACAAGGAACTATGTACAACACTACAAGACAATTTTATCCCCGAAGTTGTGAAAATGTTTCAAAAGCAGGAAAGAGATGAAAAAATAAAGCTTCTGATGATGAACAAACGTTCTTCCTCAAGAATAGACCGGAAGAAGAAAGCTCAGGAAGAAAGGGAAGAGAAGGAAAGGGAAAAAGAAGATGCACTTAGAAGAGAAGAAGAGCAAAGAGCACGGTTAGAGAAAGAGAACGCGTCCAAATCCCGCGCTCTCCGGGTCCAGAGCAGGGAGGAGAAACTTGTTCGTCCTCCGAGAGAGAGCTCAGCAGAACCTGAACCTAGGATAGATCGAGAGCAAAGAATACTGCAACGGGAGCAGAAAAGAACCAGTCAGGTCTGGGGTATACATTTTTACATTTTAATCATTTCTTTATCCCTCAATTTTTTTCAAGTGATTTTTGATTTTTAAGATATTGGTCCTTAATCCGGTTGGTTTTCTTCGTCTCCCAAACAGGGGCGACTTTTAGATCACGTGTACCTTTGATTGATTGATTCCCTCTAATCCTATCGTATGTTCATTTAAAAGATAAATTTGTGTAAAAACTGAAAATAATGAGAAAAATAGCGACTTGTTCGAAAAATAACATTTCCCATCCCACGCTGAGAATTATTCTTTTTTTGACGGGATGGGGGGGGGATATGTTCGAAATGAGCAACTTTTCAAAGGATATTTTTGCAAAAATTACCTTTTTGTATCTCAGGGGAATGAATACAAGACGGAGCAGGGGAAACGAACCCGACTGGATATTGAGATGAGACGGAGAGAGGTTGAACTGGATCATGATTACTGGAAACCTGGATCACGGAGTAGGAAACCCGAAGGGGGTCAGAAACCTGTTTCCAGGGAGTGGAACCGACTGCTCAACGCGGAAGAGGAGACTCAACCCTTAAGATCAATCAGATTTTAAACCTGATCTTAAGATTTTATGTTAAGATCGAAACCTGCATGGGTTAAGCTTTGATCTTGGATTAATTAAACTTGTAAAGTTTAATTTAACTTAAGTTTAGTTCTAATAGTTCTAATTTCAACATCAGATTATGGATCAATGATATTTAGGAATCTCATTTGAGGTAGGAAGTTGAAGCGGGTTGGGAGGTATATTCTACAACTTGTCAGTCTTCATATTTTCTATCTCTCCGTCAGGATTTGTGGACAGCTCTGTATTTAATATTAACCTGCGTACCTTATAGTTTAGTTATCTGCATTCCTCTTGGTTTACATACAGTGAACAGGTTTTATTTAAGCTATGTAGCGCAAATTTTTATGAGGGAGAGAAGGGGACTTGGAAACTTCAGGAGTTTGTACCTCATGTCTCTCAGGTTTGTATTAGGGTCGGAGGATGCGAAGGGGAGGGAAGCTTGGAAACTTCAGGAGCTTGTAGCTCATGTCTCTTAGGTTTGTATTAGAGTCGGAGGATGGAGAGGGGAGGGGGGAACTTTGAAACTCCGGGAGTCAATGTGTTTGGTCTTGTCTCGTTATTTACTGGTTAAGTAACTTAATTTGTGAATTTAATCTGGCAGAATCATTTTATATCATTAGTAAACAAATCGCAAGTGTACTAGAATTATAAATTATTTAATTTTCTTCCGAAATATTTCGCCAAAAACATTGGCTTCGACTGGAGGTTTGTCCTAAAATAAATAAATACAGATATGAAAATTAAATGTTAGAATAATAATATGGCATAAAATTGAAATAACTACAGTACGGTGAAATATCTGACAATTTCATCTTTTTTTGTGAAAGTGGACAAACCCGAATAAAACATGAATTACGTGAACATTTTCTTTAAATGAAATTTTTATTTAGGTGAACTGTTTGGCCCTTGGTCATAGATCTGGCAGAGTTCTAGTTACTGGAGGAGAAGATAAAAAGGTAAACAGTTTGTACGGGGTTGAACTGGTGACTTTTGAATGGAAAGAATGAGTTTAGCTTATCGAGGACAGATTATAAAGATTTTGTTCTCAAATTGATAAATCTTCGATGGAAAAATAGTTTTTATTTAATTTTATACTGTAAATCAGTATTTTTTTAGAAAGGGTATTGTTTATGTCCAATTGAAAGGATTTTTTGTAAATACATTTTTTTAGGCATAGTGTAGGGTGCAGGGCGGTAAAAAGTCCGGTTAGTGAAAAAAAATCGAAAATAGCCAAAAACTACAGATCTAAAACTGTATTTTTGAAAAGCCCTTGAAAAATGGATGTTGAAACATGTGCCACACTTTGATACTTGTTTAAAACAAACAAAATATTTTTTACATTTTTTTACCCTTTTTTGGCACTTTTTTCAACCCTCTTTAGCCCCCAAACTATCAGTCTATTTTTTTCAATGCGTTGGTTTTGAAAAGTTGGGCTATGAACATGCATTTCAATCCAATACCTATTCTCTAAGGTGGGACTCCTCCACTCAGAAAAAAACATAGATTCAGACTCCCTAGCCTTTATAGGGTTAAAACCAAACATTTTTTCACCCAGTGTATTATAGTCAAGCCTTTTTTTTTACATCCTGCGCAGGATAAATATTTAGCAACATAGATATTAGGACAATTTTGCTCATTTACTCCTCAACTGAACATACAGTTATTGTATTTTTATTTCAGAAAAGATGATTCTCCGTCTGCTGCAGAACTAGCAGAGTGGCAGGATGTCTGGGAACGGGAGGAGAGCTTGGAAACTCCAGGAGTTTGTAGCTCACGTCTCTCAGGTTAAAATTTGGGTCGGAGACATAGATTAAAGCTTTTATAGGGTTAAATATCTACTTTACTTACAAGTTTAGTCCATCATCATCACCGAATTTCATAACTTCGGGATTCGACTAATGAGGACCATTCTCCTGTGAGAAAAAAATTACTAATTTAATTCTTTAATTCTGTTCATTCAAAAGTCACGAGCATCTGTAATACGAGTTTTTTTTATTAAAAAGGTGTTAATTTAACTCTGTATTGTTAAGGTGAACCTATGGGCAGTCGGGAAACCAAACTGTATAATGAGCCTCAGTGGCCATTCTACACCAGTAGAAAGCGTCAGGTGAGAGCTATCCCCGCCCCCCTGTTTGATGTATTTTACATAAATATTCATTAACTTTTATAATCTAGCGACAGAAAATCACTGGAAGGGATGATTTATTTCAAAATTTTTAGGAGTTTACTTTTTTCTTCCTTTTTCAATTCTTTTCTGTTTCTATCTACTATTCATTTATTTGTTATGCTTTTTCTTCCATTTTTTTTGTTATTTCTGTCCTTCTTTTTCCAGTGCTATTTAACTATTTTTTTTTATTAATTTGTCTCGCCGGCTCTTTTTGGATTTCCTTGGTCTTATTCTGGTTCTGCTATCGTAATGATTCCTTGATTTTTAAATTTATTATCTTATTCTCTGTTTTTTATATCTTCATTACTTATTTCAGGGGGTTCATAATGTGCATTTCTTTTCTAAAAATTAAATTTTGATTATTATGTTCAAACACCGGTGATTTAAGGGACTGTAGTCGTATTTTTTTTACGGTGCTCTTTAAAACTTTATATAGTGAGGTGGTTGAACAAACTTTATTACAATCTAATAATTCGTAGTATGGAATAGAAATATAAAAGATCTAATTGAATAATTCGGCCAAAAGTCGGAGGAAATAAGGATAAACCTAACATTCTCTTAAAATTCAGGCTATAGATACAAGCCTCTGTAGTTGGGGCTTCACGGCTTCGGCTACTTCCACTCGGGCATAACAGTATCATTGCACATGTCATGCTAACTCTGTAACCCAAGTACTCCTAAGGGAGGCGGAGGGTTGCCGGGAGGGGTGGTTTCCTGGTAACATTTGTGTTATTAGGATGTCCTAATAGATCTTATAAATAATGTGTAAGAAAACATCTGAGGAAATTCTAAATATCAATTGCCTCCATTTTTCCTATAACAGTAATCCGAAAGTCAATACTTAAGAGAAACCACAATTGAAAATAATTATTTTCAAAAAGAAAAACATGGAGATCTCATTATTTCTACAATCTTAATTAGACAAAGCTTCTAAATGCACTGGTGTGAATCGGACAATTCACTATAAATGAAGAATCTCTTAAAATTATATTTACAGTCCCTTTAATGTAATGCGTATCTAAATATCTTGTATAAGGTTTGGGCATACTGAGGAGTTAGTGTGTGCTGGAAGTCAGGCTGGGAACTTGAAGATCTGGGATCTAGAGGCTGCTAGGCTGGTCAGAACACATACAGGAATATATAGACTCTATCTCAAAATTTCATGCCCCCCCATGGGGATATATTTCATGGCCCCCCTCCCCTCTATCTATATTTATGCGTGGTTAAAGGCTAAGACAAAAAAAAATATTTTATTGCAGCTCGAATTGACAAAAAGATTGAAAATGCATATTATGTTTTTCTTTAGTATTAATAGAGTTTGTTTGTTAGGACACAAGGCAGGAGTAACCTGTATAGAGTTCCATCCCTACGGTGAGTATCTAGCATCTGGTAGTGTGGACACATGCATCAAACTCTGGGATACCAGGCGAAAAGGATGTATCTTCTCTTACAGAGGGCATGCACAGAAAGTGAACTCGATCAAGTTCTCGCCTGACGGTCAATGGATTGCAAGCGCCGGAGAGGATGGAGCAGTTAAGCTGTGGGACCTGAGAGCGGGGAAACTTATGAATGAGTTTAACAATCAGACCGGACCTGTCAATGATGTTGAGTTTCATCCACACGAGTTTCTGCTGGCCGGAGCTAACCAGGACAGGACCGTTAGTTTCTGGGACCTGGAGAAGTTTGCCCTGATAGGTTCTACGGAGAGAGATACAGGACCTGTCCGGTGTATCTACTTTCATCCTGAGGGTGAATGTTTGTTCAGTGGAACCCAAGATAATCTCAAGGTTCACGGTTGGGAACCAAGTCGATCCTTTGACTCTCTACCGGTCAGCTGGTCTAAAATATCAGATATCGCGACAGCCAGCCAGCAGTTAATCGGGGCTTCATTTCAGCAGACCCATGTTTCTCTCTATGTGGTTGATTTGAAGCGTGTTCAGCCCTTCTGTGGAGTTAATATCCCGGAAAAAGAGCCCAAAACTGCTGAAAATATGAATGTTACATTCCGTCCAGGTCAAACAGTTCGAAGGAGTTTTGTGAAAGAGAGTTCTGATGCAGGTAAAAGGCCTCCGACCCAGGTCAAGATATCGGAGGAAACCTCCGACAAGTCAGGGACAGAGGGAGAAGATTCCGACGCTGTGTCCCATGCTGATATCCCAGATATTGGAAACTATCAGAATGTGTTCCAACCCCGGAACCGGGAGCTCAATAGAACTCCACCACCTCCAGACGAACCCTTTGAAGAGCCTCCAGGTTCTGATCTTGAAATGCCGATGCCGGTACGAGCAGTGGATCCGATGAATTTTCACGCCAGTAAACTCAACAAGAAAGTTTCTCCGTCACCCACACGGAGAGCTTCTCAACCTGCCATGCCTTCTGGATATCACTCCGGGGTTGTCGGAGGCAGAAGAGGATCTGTATCTTCTACCCCCGACGTGATGAAACCCCAAGAACTTCACATGCGACACGGTCCCCACTCTGGACAGCGTCCTGTTTCCGTCTACGATCCTACGGAAATGCGGGGAGGACGCTCTTCCTCTCAATCCGTCCCAAGGGAGCTTCCGTCCTCTCCGGTCCGCGCCAGTTTCCGAACAGCTGTGAACCTGAATGCCTGTAAGGACTCCCCGGACCAAGAATATTTACCAGGAGTCCCACAACACATGTCTTTACTCTCCTCCGTGCCATACGGTCCTTCTTCTCCCGTGAAACCGTCTTCCCCAGTTAAATCTCATCCTTCCACATCTCTGCCATACTCGTCTCCTTCATATCATCCGCTTGTAACTCCGCTGGACAGACCTACAGCTGTTCGACCGCAGCGTACCTCCGAATCCGGGTTTTCTCAATATGAATCTGGAGCAGGGGCCGAGCCCATTGACAAGATGGAAATGGTTCCATCGATGTCGGATAAACCGACAGGGCTCAATGCTTCCGATTTTCTGCCACAGAAGTTTGGAGGATTAAAGATTGGTCTCCAGCCTCCGATTGACAAGTTTGGATATGAATGGCCTCAAAACCATTTATCTGAGTCCGAGGTTACCTCTTCTATACTCAAGGATCATACAAGTATCATGTCCGTCATTATGCAACGCTCTCGGAACATCGCCATTATCCGCCAGCTCTGGCACTCCAAGGATGCCAAAACCGCCGTTGAGCAGGCGGTCGAGTTTAACGATCCCGCCGTTATCGTAGATCTTCTTTCCGTTATCATTCTCCGTCCTTCCATCTGGAATCTGGATCTTTGTCTGAACCTGCTTCCTCCCATTGGAAACCTGCTTCTCTCGAAGTATGAAAGCTATGTAACCGGTGCGTCGAGTGCGCTTAAATTGGTTCTCAAGAATTTTGGGACTGTGATCAAATCCAACATTGACACCCCGTCCACATCCGTGGGCGTCGACATCTCTAAGGAGGAGAGGTTGAACAAGTGCTTGGACTGCTACAGGGAGCTTGTGAAGATCAGGTCGACCATTCTCAAGCGACAAACCATGCAGGGGAAGTGTGGGCACTCCTTCAGGGAACTTGCAATACTCATGCAGTGCTTAGATTAGGCTTTAGGTCAATATATCACAGTCTCTGTGCCTAAATTCTTGTTGTTTACTGTGCCTTTCCAATTACACTTGTATTTAACATCTTTAATATTGATCTAACATCACTGTTCTCCAGGCACGTTTTTGAATTTAATTTCGGTTATTTATCTTGATTCTAGAATCAGGATTCATGTTTAGCTCATTAACTCTAGCCTCTGGTCTATTTACAGTGTAACTTTTGAATGCATTTGAGTTTAATGCATTCCCTGTCACAAATTGATGCAATAAAGGCTCTTCCGGTCACAAATATTAATATTCATTTCTTAAACCAATTTAACCATTAATTATATGGATTACATTTATTCTCTCTTCTTTCATCCAAGTCAGTAAAAAGTATTAAAACTAAGACTGTTATTTTCTAACCGGTTTTCGGCATGTTTACTTAATATTTACAGTACAATAAGTGACTAATTGATCAGATAGTGAGAGGTTTAGAAACGAATATATTGCAATAATCAAGTTCCTATTTCCTTTTTCAGTTTTTTTGTTTCCTGCATCTCTAGGTTCCTTTATCTATATCCTTATTCCTAGATTCATGTATCCATATCCCTAGGTTCCTGTATCTTGTATCCCTAGGGTCCTTTATCCTTATCCTAAGCTTCCTGTATAATTATTCTCAGGTTCCTGTTTCATGTTTCCCTAGGTTCCTGTATTCATTTTCCCGAGGTTTCTGTATCCTATATTCTTTATGGTGTTTCTCTAGGGATCCGTATCCTTATCCCTAGGTTTCTTTATCCTTTTCCTTAGAATCCTGTATTCTTATCCTAATGTTCCTGTATCCTTAGGTTCCTGTTTTCTTGTCCCTGCGTTCCTGTATCCTGTATTCCAGTATACTGTATCCTGTATTCCAGTATACTGTATCCTGTATTCCAGTATACTGTATCCTGTATTCCAGTATACTGTATCCTGTATTCTAGTATACTGTATCCTGTATCCCTAAAGATCTCTATCCTTATCTCTGGGTTCCTATTTCCTTATTCCTAGGTTCCTATATCCTTCTCTTACATCTTGTATCTTTTTATATTTTACTTCCCGTTTACTCATCTAAACCTGAGTTAAAATATGAAATATTAGTTTAACACCAAGTATATAAATTGTAGATTAAATATTAACTGTGATATGATCCCTCTACACATTCGCAGCATTTTTTACTAAATTTTTAACCATGTGCTTGTGTGTGATCTTGGATTAACGAAACCTTAAAGGAACTGTTCAAGTAGTTTTATTTGAACCCCAATTTTAATTCTCGTTGAACAAAAGCAAGAAATATGTTTTTCTGTCTAAAAAATTGTCGTTTTTAATTGAAGTGTCACGTTTTAGAGATAATTGCAGCTGAAACAAATTCACATAATTTAAGAACTTCAGAACTCTGGGAGATCAGTAGAAATTACGTGGACAGTCCCTTTAAGTTTTGTTGCAGTCTGAGAAAATCGGTTCATTTTTATTAGATTTATACTTTAACCTTGATCTGTTCTCTGAGAGATTTTGTTAAGTTCAAGCATTTAGAATCAATTTTATATATATTTATATGTTCTAATATGTAGAAGTACTAAATTTAGCTCAAATAACGGATTAAATTATATTAATCCCCTGTTTTAACCTAAGCTATATAGACTTATTTCTCTGAGACTTAAGTTAAATCCAGTTTTTCTATATTGTTTTTAAAAATGTTTGAAGAAGATGAAAAAACTACAATTAATGTTTTTAACTCGAAAATTTACCATTCTTATACTTCCATTAGTTTTTTAGTCTCAGAGTCATAATCTTTAGCTTCTAGTTATTCTATGTAATGTTCTAATTATGAATGCTGGAGAATAATTGAAAACCCTCATATCTGTTGAAGACCTGCAGACGAAAATTTCTTTATCTTAAACTCGGCTTACACCTTAAGTTTTAAACCTTCAGCTCCGCTCTGTCAATTTAAAAGAAAATGCATATTGTAATGAAGCCATTGATCATTTTCCATTGAGTTTTTTATCTGTTCATTCATTCATTCATTCATTTATTGATTAACCTGAATTAGTCAGTTCTAACCAAATACCTACTATATATATAATTCTATATACCTGATTTAAAGTTAGAATAGTTGATCTATGCTTAGTTAAGCTAGGCTTAGTTGATCCGACTTAGTTACCTTCTCAACTAAGGAGAACTTGACTAGTTATATTTCAGAGAGAAGATGGACAGATTGACTGTCAAGTGTGGCTAGCTGCCCCCTTTGCAGGTTGGACATTTTTTTTATCATTTTCATTTTTTAATGTTTCGTGTTATTGTAATTTTGGGTGAATATTTTCTTTATATAATCTTTAATTACCTCTTTCAAGTTTTACTAAGGTTTTATTCGTTGTATTGGGAAAAATAAATAAATTTTTGGTTAAAAAGTATCAAAGTGGATGAAAAATTTGTTTTTTGTCCAAATTTTCTTTTTCCCATAGAGAGTGTAGTTAAAAAGTATAGAAAGGATGAAAATTTGCTTTTGATGTCCATCTTTTATTTTTTCAATGCAGATCATCTAAAATTATCTTCAAAATATGTATTTAACTTCTAAAACATTTCGCTTCCACTTCTAGGCAAAAGAATTATTAAGTTTAAATAAAATTAATTTTTAGCATTGACATTAGGAAAATTAAAAACAGAAATAAACATTGTTTGGAGTAAAACTCGGCCAAAGTAAAATTTTCGTAAAATTTAAAAACAGCAACTTACGTAATAGTTAAAAAAACATTTAATATATATATATAGATATACATAATTATTTCAAATAGATGAAAGGTATGACAAATCATAAACTTTTGAAACAACAAAAAAGTTTTCCTAATTTCATGTTATAGATTTCATATTTAAATTTAATCTTTAATCATATCTTTAATTTCAAATACCTATTCTTGTGTGAATAATATTTTAGAAAAGTTTTAATTTGTTGGTTTTCCTAAAAGGGAGGAATCTCAACGATGTAACTGTACTAGATTGCCTCTTGTCTAATTTTTTTTATTCAAATTTGATGGAATTTGTTACACCCAATATTTCCCGTTGTAGGGTGATTAAGTAACTTTATCGCCCTACAACAGGGCGAAAAAGTAACTTTTTCACCTTGCTATTAAAATTTCAAATTTCATACTTAATATGTCTCATTGTAGGGTGATAAGTTACCTAATCACCCTACAACAGAGTGATTAAGTAACTTTATCGATCTGCTTTTAAATAATTTGAGTAAAACTGAAAAAAAAACACTATATATGTTATTGAAATGAAAAGTTGTAGAACTTGATGAAAAATATATAGCGGTTGCAAGTTTTGTAATTTGTAGAGTCTATCTAAACTATTGATAAATTCCTCTCTTATCAAGTCTTATTTTTTTACTCTTTCTTCGGCAATAAAACTGAAATGCATATTTCACGTTATTCATTTATTCAACTGTCTTGTGTTATCATGCGGGACAATATGTTTTTGGCCAGTATGTTTACGTTTTTCGTTTGTATAAGGTTTAAATTCAAGATTTTTAATCTCGAACGAATTTATTTAATTTAAGTTTCATAAAAATGTCCGATTTTTTATTTTGAGCAGCAACAATAAGAGAGACATCGTCTATCTTGAAAAAATGGCAAATTCTGTCAGTTTTCTTCTTTGGCTCTGATGCTAGCCAGTTTTAAAGATACATTACAATTAACTTTCAGATAAACAATTTACAATACTAGGATATCTTCATTATTTTTGCTTACGAAGTTTTAAAGAGTAATGTTGTGAATCTGGCATGTCCCTTTTTTATATACAGAGCGTCCCATATCATATTAGATTATCTCCAATCTTTAACACCTAAATACGCACATAATACTCTAAAAATCTAGCATTTTCTGCAAAAAATAAATTCTATTAGCCTTATTAAATGTTTCAAAATGATTCATTCTTTTTAAATTTTCTGATTTGTCCCCCAAATCGTAATTTAGACCCATTGACGCGGTCTTATTTGATGTGGGACACCCTGTATATAAAACTCGAGTGTAATTATTACGACAGTCTTGTCAATGAATTAAAAAAAACGGATGAATTTTTTTTAAATCTAATTTTAATAAAATATTTTTAGTTTCCAGATGACAGAACAGAGCATTCCCGAACCCACTAGGAACACACTTATTTTATTTTAATTAAATTTGTAAAATCTTCCCTCTCTCTCCCGTATTAATATTTACACCTTGCAAATTTGGTCAGTTTTTTGTCAATGATAAATTTTATGAAATTGATGCTGACATTTAACACATGAAAAAGAAACAATTCATCTAAAAATATTAATTTTGGTTAAAAATATTCGTGTATAGTCCGGCCTTACGTGCCCAGCGGTTTGGTTTGGGATTGTTGGTTCTCCTGGCTGTAGATTTTATCTGGGTCGCATCTTCAGAGCTCACAGAGTTTATCTTCAAAACACAACATTTTAGGCATACTTCAGATTAAATAAATTGACAGGGTGCACATTTTCTTGAATAATCTTTCCACCCCCCCTTTTGAAAATATATTTTTTTTTCAGGAGTTATGTACCTCCATTTTTCTAGGTTTTTTTTGCCTAATAAAAATAAAACGAGATAACGAGATAAAAAATAAAATGTTGGTTTAAAATTTCTGAAGAGGAAGAAAAAAAATTCCCCTCTGGCTTTTGATTAGATTATCAAGAAATCAATTTTACATCCCACAGAATAGCTTTCATTTTGTTATATTTTCCATTTTTTCTTTTACCATGGAAGTAATTTTACTGCCTGACTTAATCTGAATATTACAGTAAACCATTCTTCTCTACTTATGTGAAGACCTCGTTATTTATGTTATACCTACCCGGGTTTATCCTCTACAAACCATGGAGAGAACAGTGCAATATGTCGCGCAATATAAGACGTGCAAGGTAACAGGAAACCTAATTTAACGAATTAGAGCTAGGTTGCTGAACTACCTACCATCGATTCAAATACTGTTCTGCAGTCTGCAGTGTAGTTCTCATCGCTAGTTATGGCCGGGTGCTTTACTTATACTAATTAGGCGGTTTGGGTCTTTAGGATGGGGGATCTTTCAGATCTTTACTCGTATAGGACATAGACAAATCTTGAATCAACGATCCCATGTCCTAAGTATACTTCACGGTAGAACCAATATTTGAACCGACGGTTTGACGGTATTTGTAAAGTAGGGGGGGGG